TTGAAAGTTGAAGAAAATCCTGCTGCTCAGACTCTTTGTGGAGGAAAAGCGTTGCTAATTTCCTGCTTAGGCTTGCTGTCAAGCTCTCCTGGGATAAAAACAAGCTTAAGAAAAAAATATTAGGCAAAACTATTGGGAAAAGAACACTGTTAGGCATTTCTGGCAATTCAGTGCAAAAGAGGAATGAGAGAAAAAGCTTGGGAATTTAGGGCCAGTCTGTAGCACAGAGGTCCTTACAGACTGTGTGTGATACATTCAATGCTGGTACAAGTTTAGTGGTAATCAGTTTGACTTCCAGCCACGGATATTAAGGGCAATAGAACTTGTTCCTTTTTGAGGACTGATTTATTTATCATGTTCATTACTTGATCCATGTGTAGTAAAGCAGTAAAGAGCAAACCAAGAGAGAAGCATGAGTCTTAAAAGGATTTGTCCTGTTTCTTTGTTATATCAAAGACCATGGGAATTATTGAGGAGCAACTAAACTTTTTAGGTGAAAACAACCTTAAAAAATAGTACCTACAGGCAGACCTTTGCTTTAATGATTCTATGAATTCGGTAAATACCCTTGCTTTATTTCATTTGATAATTTTGTAAGAGGAGAAATCTGACTTGGGAGGAGTAGAAGAATGGCCCTTCAAATATTGAGGACTTGATTCTTGTTTCTCTGGGGAAATTTGAAATGCAGATAGCACTTGCTATGGACCTTGGCTTATTCATCAGCATGATAATCTTCTGTTCAGGAAATACATTTCCATATTTCAATCCACCAAACTCACTGAAAATGTCTAGGATTTCAGGGTAGAGGTTCACATTTCTGATTAAAAGCCCTACTGTTCATGTAGGGCACATAGAAGTTTTTCCACGCTATCGATAAAATGTTTTGTGGCAATGACTGAAGCATTAATAATGTAAGGAGTAGTAGCATGAATGAGGAATTTTATCTTAGCATGTCAGGGAGTGTTCATCATCTGTTCCTCAGTATAGAGGAACTCTGTGCCAGCAGGGAAAAATCTCTGCAGTGCCAAACCAGGACTTCAATGGGCTCTATGACAGGCTGCAACAGTGTTCTTTCTTCAGACCGTATTAATGGTTATGACACATAAGTTGTAAAACTCTTCTATCTGTCCATGCTGTTAGCCAAAGTTATTGGGCCTTATTGTTCAGTGTATGGCTTCTTTGTCCCTCAATATGTCAAGTTTCTTTTTTAGCCTGTGGTTGTCTGATGCCATTATACATGTACCAACTGTATTCCTTGTTAGCATTTTGATTAAGGTTCTTCTAGATAGATTTTTATATCTCACTATAGAAGCAGGAAATCAAATGAAGTACACAATGAGCAGTCGAAATGCTGGAGGGGAGGTCTGCTGTTCAGGAGAGGGAGCAGGGAGAGAGAGAGAAACAGATCAGACCAAATAGGTGAGCAAATATAGCACCTTCTGTGGTAAACCTGCATTTTTATTTGCCTTTACATCATACTTGCAGCTCACAGTCTATCCTCTGATAAATGTCTACTGTCCTTTTTGCTATTTGTCACCTGACAGGCTCTGCCATAGAGGAGGAGACATCCCTGTAAATCATCAGGTCCACATTCTTATCATGCACTTACGCATCTCATCTTATTTCCAGTTTTTCACATTCCATAGTACCTTTTTTCCATGCTGTCTTTAAGGTGTAGTGAGTGTTGACTGAAAGGAACTGTCATCTGCAGTGAAGTCCAACTTGTGCATTGAGAAGCTGTTCTGCACAGAATATGTGCAACTAAGAGAGCTGTGTCTTTCCAAGAGTTGAGGACAAGACCTTAGCAGTAATGCTATTAAAATTGCTGTGGTGAAAATCAGTTATTTCCATTTCATGAGTCCAAATACATGAATGTATTCAGAAGTCCCAGACTGAATAGCAGCTGATTTTGTGTACTTGTGCTTGTTCTTCCAAAAGTATATTCAAAAGGTGAATTAAAACTTTTCCTCGATTGAAATAGAAAAAAACCAAAGTACTGGAAAATACCTTATTACTTTATGATGATGATGATGATGAATATTTTTATAGTGATATGTTAATTCTGGAATTAACAATAATTAATAGTTAATTATCTGTAGCACCTTTGACTTCTCCAATTTGTTGTGTGTCAGCATCTGGTTTATAATGAGTACTGATGCCAGCCTCCTCACTTCCAGAAACACAGTCTGAAAATGCAAGCTAGAATATGATAAATAACTGAGCGAAAGCCTAAGGGCAGGATGTGTCCTTGGTGGCAGTTAGATGTTGTTTGAAGAGCTGACTTGAGAAGCCCTGGCAATCACTACTCTCTTGCGAGAGCGAACAGGCCCAGCAGCCCCTGTCTGTGACCATGGTGTGCTTGGCCTTATAGTCAGGAGGGTGTAGTGGATTAGTCCAGACTAAGCTGTTTCCTTGACACATGTCTGCAGCTTCAGATCTAAGACTGACCCATTCTCTTTTTTGAGGAGATTTTGGCTCATCGTTCTGCTTGGTTCCTGGCATTTGGTTCCTTGAAGTACCTTAACCTGGAAGAAAGTCTTTCACTGGTCACTTAAAGGGAATGCTATGATGGGCATCAGAGTTCAACTGCTCTTCACTTCTGCTGGGCTGGGTAGCTGGTGACATTATCCTCATTTAAAAAGGTTGCTAAGTCAGATCTTGAGTTTTCTTCCATCATCTCCTGTATTCCTCCCGCATTGCAGCTGTGCAGGAAGCTGTATCTAGCAAACTGAACTGTGTTTTGGGGGGGTGATGGAGGAGAGGAGTCACAACAGAGGAAAGAAACACATTCCTGAGAGTCCTCATTACAGAGCATGAAGAGTATGGGAGACTGCTCATTTCTAAAAGTTGTCCTCCACCCTGAAGCAGCTGTTCTGGTTTTCTGCATTGCCATGCAGTGTTGGAATATCTTGGGAAGCCACAGATGTTTGACTCATACACTGGAGCCAATTTGATCCTGATTCCCAATGCTGGAGCCTCCTGGCTGAGATCATTGTGACGCAAACCTTGCTCCCAGTTCCCGCTTCACTAAGGAGCAACAGTTTTGTTACATGTCAGGTTTGGCACTGGGTCGTCAGATGTTTCACCACCACTTCCTGTGTTTATAGCTGGAAGTTGTGTCTTGGCTGTGGACATGACATTTACTCAGAATTATGACAGTTTTCTGTGAACTTTACTCCTGACACAGATGTTTCAGAAAGAAATGCACCTTTGTATTCTGTGGCTTCAGAAAGTATTAAGAAAAACAAGGATAGAATTAACATAGCAGAGTTCAGATCAGTTGTTTTCGATGTATTGCTAACCCAGTATGAAAACAATTTTTGTGACTAGGTGGTACATAATTGGATATATGGGTCTGTATTCTGATAGGCTGAGGGCATCCTTTGTTGTTCTTGTGCTTGTAATCCAGTGCTGAATGAATACTGTGAATGTATTTGTATGATAAGAACTTCTGCTAGTTTTTATGTGATGGAAACAGTGAATGTAGCCATTTCTGTGCAAAGAAACATGGATTTGGTTGGAACCCAACAGCTGTTTGATTCATATCCAGCTGTAAGGCCCAGATGTGCCATCCCTCCATTATATGGCAGTGGTGGGAAATAGCCCAGAGGAGCAGCCTGGTGCCTCAGACCTTTGGCATTTCAAAGGTGATCTGCACTGAATCAAGTGGTAGAGGGGCTGTGTGTCTTCCTTCCCTCATGATATCTCTATCTGCTTTTTTTTATACTTCTCTTTTCTTGACCTGCCCCTCATCTTTTCAGTTTTTTGATCTTCTGTTGTTACTTCTTACAGCTGAGCTTATTCTGTCTCAAAATTTTCCTCTTGGAATAGAGCTTTAACTACTGAGCAGATGTGTTGTCTTTATTCTGCCTGTTCTCACTGCCTTTATCTCTCTTCTTCATCTCGAATCTTAGGCTCATTGATTCCTGTGGAGCTGGAACTCTTTGCTAGTTACAGACACTGAAAAAAATAATATTCTTATCAGATCTTGCTGCAGTTCTGTAAACAAGCTAGTTAATCATGCTTTTATGTTAATAACATAAACAAATAAAATTTTGTTGCACTGTGATTATAAACAAACAAATACAAAATTGTGGTCTAAATATTGAGATACTTTTCCTTCCTTTGGTTTGTTGGTTTGTTTTTTTTTTCTCCTTAATGCTTTCTGAAATAAGATTATCTAGAGACTTAGATGGAAATTAATCTTTTATGTAAGAAAATAAAGAAAGTAAAAGAGAAATTAATATTGCCTGAAATCCTTCATGGTCTGAAGCTAGAGAAGAGGAAGAAGCCAAAATGTAACTGCAGGAATGTGCTTAGATATAAAACTTAGGATGTAACTGTGGGAATGGATTTGGATACAAAAACTGGAATGCAACTATGTGCAGTGAAATCTGCAAAAAGCTGGGAATGTCATGCTCAGTGTTTGAAATCTGCAGGCAATTGGCAGTGTTTTTTCAGAACTATGCTAGTAAAAAAACTGTTTTTCATGAGTTTGGGGCCTGATCAAGTCTTTCTTTTTTCTTTTTCTTTTTTTTTTGGTGTGTTCTTGGCTTGTACTCATGTGAACTAGGATGGAATTAGCAAGAGACAGTAAAGCTGTGGTTCTTGTAGTCTCTCCTGAGTGGTGAAGTTGGCTTAAGAAAGTCCTGCTCCAAATTGTACTTCCCTGCCTGTATAACTTTTTCCAGGAAGAGCTGGGTTTTTTTGCACGACTGAAATGTGAACTGTCTGATCCAATTTTCCAAAAAGCATTACAGATAACTTCCTATTACTTATTTTTTTCCCCCCAAGATGGGCCACTGCTGGTAAATAGTGTGGTTCCATGAACAGTTATGCTGGAATGACTGAAAGAGTGAGTGCCCTGTGATGGGCCAAGAAATTAGTTGCCAGATGTTGCCAGAAATTAGTACATTCGGGCTCTCAAGGCAATAGCCCGATGAAGCAACAGCATCCACAGACTGAACAAAATGTCATCCATCCTCAGTCTTCTGTTTTTTCAGGTAGCAGTAAGGAAGGAGGTGTCAAAGGAAACACCAACTCTCAAGCAAAAACAAGTTATGCTTTAGCAGTGCTCCATGAAAGCAGCTTTTACTGGCAGGTAAAATTTGACTGGCCTGGAAGATTCAACCAGTCTAGAGTAGAGGTAAATGATATAGACAAGCATACCATCCAACCTTCCTGCAAGTCAACTGACACGTGGCAAATGCTGTATTTTTTCCTGATCTCACTGCAAGGTCAGTCATGACATAGCTGCAGGTTTGCAGGTTTGAGCCAGGAGAGTCTCCCATAGAGTTACTTAAGAAATTTCACTCAGAATTTCAGTTTCTTTTCTATGTCATTACCTTCAAACTTACTACTGGCTATACAAGAATACAGGAAATCTATTTCCATGTGACAAACATTAGGATTAATAAAATTTGATGTCAAATCTTTATCAATAAACTGTGTCTTATCAGTGATGTAGTTTTTTCTTTTTTTTAATGTCAAATTTTCTGCAATTCTTGTGGTTCTCTAAAATCTATGCTGTTTTGTAGTTGAAATTTAAGTGAAACTATGATGCCAATAAATGAGTTAGATGAATGTGTCCTTGCCTCTTCCCCCAGTCCCAGAGTATTTTTGTGTAAAGTTTTAAAGGAAAACATTTTTTACTCTTGCAGGGCAGCTTTAGAAGAAGTAGAAGGAGATGTGACAGAACTGGAACTGAAACTTGACAAGGTAAACTTTTTAATTCAACAGTGTTTGTTCTTAAAAATGTTAGAAGATGTGTTTAGGTTTTGTTTTAAAGTTCACAGCTGGGAAGTGGCAGAGGCTGACCAAGCACTCAGCTCTTGCAGAGGGAAGGGATCAGGGTCGAGGGCACAGTTGGGGAGACCCGGGCTGGGGTAACAGCGGGAACAGTCGGTGTGGACTCGCTCTGTCCCAGCTGAGGGTGTGCATCTGCAGTGCCCGACCCGGCCCCCTCACACCCCTGGGGCTCAGCCCCCCTGGGAGCTCTGTGCAAACTCATTCAGCTTTCACAGGCAAACTTTCTCAGGTTTCACCTGAGATAAAAGCCAGGGCTTGGCAATCGCTGCAGCCAGAGCCTGTTTTATGACAACTGCACACTGTGGGGACATCTGGATACTCTTTGTTTTAAGTCCATGCCTTCTCTCTTTGGTAATCTGAGGCACAGTCACAGCAGGCCAGGTTTATATACATATATATATATGTGTGTATATATATATATATATCCTTCACTGCTGTCTGGAGGACTTAAGTACCGTAAAATTCATCCTGCTTTTTGTCATGCTTTGTGCACGTGTATGAAAAGTTATGCATAGCATCTTTTCAGCACCTTACAGTCCATTTGTTGCTTTCCTCACCTTTGGAGGCTTTTGTTCTTTCTGTGCCAGTATTTTGAAAGTGGCTTATTTTTGGGTTTCATCTGTATAAAATCTTCTTTCCTTTGCGTTTTATGCTAAACATTTAAAGTTATTTTTGTCTGTATTTTCACATGGCAGGCAGATGTCATTTGCTCATCTCCTTAGCTACCTTTTGAATACATACTTTTATTCCTGCAGCTGTGAGTTGGCTGCAGAAAGCTAGAGAGAAAGTTGGTGTTCTTGTTTACTTCTTGTAGTAATATTTCTAGTTTTTGTAGTTAATAATCTAACCATTTGCTCTTTCAAAATAAACTCAAGAAACTTAATTTTGGTTTGGTGTGAATCTTGGTGAAACTGATGGGTATAAGAGACATTTTTACTGTAGAGATGCTGAATCTGTTTTGGTAGGTCAAACTGGAAGTATTTAAGGGATCCGAAAAATCTTGGAAACTTGACTTTTCCAGGAGTCTGAAGGATCTGAAAAATCTATTTTGGAAGTTTAACTTTTCCATCAGTCTAAAAGGGTCATTTCTGGGGACAAGAATTTTTAAATTCCCTAAGAGGCATTATTCAGGGCCTTGTAGTACAACACTGAAGTTGAAAGCCAAGCTTCTTTTGTGAGCTGAATTAACTATGGCCTGAGGTTAATGATTTGTCTAGGCAAGGTTGGTAACTTTTTCTACTGAGTTATTCACACTAAACTGGGTTCTATTGTCCCAGAATTGTGACTTTGGGCTACATTGTCTGCAGTTTTCTTCTCTCTGGAAGAAAGGACACTGAGTCCAGGCTTGTGAACAGAAGTGAAGGAAAAAGGTTCATGTTGGTAGTGATTTTTCTGTCTGTTGTTCAAACCATTCATCAGAATGTGGGAGATCATGCTCAGCTTTCTACTTTTCCTTGGAGGATCTGAGTCAAAAATTACTGGGTAAATAAGGCAGGAGGGACACTTGGGTGATTTCTTTGCCCCAGCATAGGATCAAGTACTTCTGTGTTGCTTTTCATAAAAATTTGTCTGACATCCTTGAAAAATCTTTCAGAGGTGAATGTTCAATCTTCTGATTTTATTCTCAGTTTGGTTTGGGATGGGGGAATCAATTATAACATGCCCTTTCTCAAGAGAGCTCCTTGGCAATCGGACTAACCATTCTTTCTTTCATTAATGGCCCAGTGCATGAATGGTTCAAAAAGTGGGCAAACATCCATCACAAGGTACTGAGGACCTTCCTGTCAGACTGTGCAGTACCATGAGGGCTGTGGTGCTGCCCGAAGCAATGAATGGTGGGGATGGAAACCCATCAGAGACTTGTCTGTTGTATGAGTGAAAACATGAATTCACCTTCTGAGGTGTAACCATTTCTCTTCAGCTGTGCTTTGTGCACAGAGCCCTTTGCTTTCCTGTGCCTGTGTTCCGAGTGGCTCAAGATGAAACAACGGGTGTGGGTTTCTTTTTTGTTTGGTTGGTTGGTTTTGACTTGGAAACCACAAAACCCTTGTATTTGCTTGGGTTCCAAACAGTAATTTTTCAGTTGCTATGGTTTTTGCCCCCATTTCTCTCTTGAAATATGTGCAAAATCTTAGTTAACAATAAAACAAATAAAAAATAAATGAAAGAATGTATAAAGAGTGGTGACCTTACTAATGGCATATCAGTTGACCTAGAGTAGTATTTTTATAGCTGTCACTATACAGTAGAAAGCTTTTCTTAAAATCCAGGTCTCTGTACACTTAGCAGTAAACTTTTCAAATCTGTATTTCAAAGCCTTAATTAAACTCAGTGTGTTCATGTTTATAAGATAGTGTAAAAAACAAACAAAAAAAAAAGCCTTCTGCTTTCTCCTTTTTTCCCTCAATTTAGCTGGTGAAGCTTTGTATTGCAATGATTGATACTGGGAAAGCATTTTGTACAGCCAATAAGCAGTTCATGAATGGAATTCGAGACCTTGCACAATATTCCTTTAAAGATGCATTGGTTGAGGTAAGTTCCTTAAGAATCGAAAAGGAAGGGAGAGAAACAAACTTAAAAGGGTAAAATGTAACAGTTGGCAACAGAAGTAGTTGAAGTTTATACCTTTTTTCTCCTTTTTCTTTGAGATGTCTTTAAGAGTGAGGTTTTTTGCCTGTGGTGCACTGCAAGTGTCTGTGTTTAGTTTCACCTCTAACCTGCAGTGGAAGGGGTTTTCCAAATTCCAGAAAATAGGTATTAGATTAGTGTGTGTACTAGTGATTGCAACACATTAACCAGTTTTTTTGAGTAAGAGTTCTAAATGTGAAAAATATTAAGTAGTGCAGTATTAAATATTGTAAATTAATGTGTTGGATTGTGTGAGCTTCCCATAGTATTTACTCAACTTTAATTTTTCCTACTTTGCTTCAGTTGGGTATTTTATGTATGGGTAGCAGTAACATTTTTGTTGCTTGTAGCTGTGATAAATTTACTTGATATTACTCCCATGGTCTCCTAGCATAATGATTTTAGTGTAATAATCATGCTATAAGGCAAATGGATTTCTATGTCATTTACTGAAAAGCTGTAAACCTCTGAAATGTTGCTTTTGTGCTGTGTGTTTCGTAGGGCTTAATTTAAACCACTTTGATTTTCTCTTTGCAGAACAGTTTGACAAAGTTCTCTGATACATTACAGGAAATGATCAATTATCACAATGTGAGTATTTCTAGCTGAAAAGGTTTTCTTGTTGATAGTGTTTGCAAAGTCATGGTTTAAGTGGTATTAAATATCTCTCATTTCATACTTGTAAATATTTTATTAATGTTTTGTCTACCAAGTATTTATAATTATCTCTTTCTCTGCAGATTTTTATCTTGGTTTATTTTTCATTTGCAGTTTGTAAGCATTGCTAAAACCCAATGTTTTAAGACAGTAAGTCCTGGATAGTTTCATCTTTTTAAATCAAACTGATGGGTAGCAGTTAAAAACTAAGAGCATATTCCTTTGCTCGTCTGAAATAATGATTACTTTTCCCATATTTTTCTACTTTTTTTCCCCTATCCTTTGTAATGCACGAAATGAAGCCTCTCTTATTTGCATATAGTTTTGTTTTTGGAAGTATGACAGATTTAGACAAGCGTAGAGAAAGTAGAAAATGCTAGGACTTAAGACTAATAGTGATTTTTAGCACGTCAGAGTTCATCAGCAAGTCCAGTTTTGCCTGGATTGAAAACTAGTTTGTTTGTTTTACTCTAAAGAGTTGTATCCTGAAAGCCAAAGGCATGTATTCGTTCTTCTATTTTCTTCCTCTTCCTTCACTGCTTTGGTAAAATTTGGCACAGCACAACTCTGCCTTTTGGGCAGTTTGAAGGCAGAAAGCAAAGAACAAGGAATATTAAAAGAAGATTCCTTTGTAGATCTGAGTAGGACCAGTCTGAGTTCTGTCCTGTTTCTCTTCCCTCCATGCCCTTGCTGTGCTCAGGCATAGTGAGTAGAACAGTGGCTTTTACCAAAGAGTACAAACATCAGTAGTGAGGCACATTGTGGGGTTCTGATGTAATGCTTTACCAGACATGCTGTGGTCCTGCAGGGCTTCCTGACTCGGAGTGTCACTCTGTTGTTGACCAAGTTGAAGAGGTAGGAGATGCTCCCACTGAGATCTGAATGACTGTCAGTTTTTTCATATGAGGTTTTGCTACAAATAAGTTCAGGAACCAGCCTAATGCAGCATCTTCACTGAGTCAGCAGTGGGGGAGTAGCTTTGACAGCTTATGGCCAACAGTGGCTTTCTTAAACTTGGAGTGTATGAAAGGTGGTGTGTTAGAAAGGCTGTAAATCCAGTCAGACTGTGGTCTGGGCACTTCTTTCTGTTCTTTTTGGGGAAAAGATGTTTATGTATTTTTCTGCCTAGCACATTTTTTCTCTTCATTACTGTAAGCAGAATTGCAAGGCTCATATTTCTGGGAGTCCTCTAATCATTTGAGTTCCCATCTGGTTATACTCTTTTGTTATTGATCTTGATTGGTGCACTCCTCAGGCACTGGCAAGCTTAAATGTCAGCAGTGGGAGTATCCCAGCATGACTTCTAGCTTGTCAAGAAGTTCTTTATCTATTCTAGTTGTCTGTTTTTCTGGTTTCCCAAAGTGGGAGTACAAACAAGATCTTCTGCGTGTCACTGGTAGATATAGGACAGTTCTGACTGGAGGGGGCCTCAGGAGTTGTATGGTTCAACTTCCAGCCGAAATCAGGGTCATCTGAGGCTGGAGCAGGTTGCTGAGGCTTTTATCCCACTTGGTCTTGAAGACCTCCAAACACAGAGACTGGATGGAAGATACAGTACCACTGTAAATGGGTGACTTAAACTCAATCATGTTTTCCCTCTTTCAGCGTTTCTAGGAAAAAAAAGACAAGCTGGTAAAGATTTTGCTGTTTGTACTTGGCATTGCATAGCTTCTCATTTCCAAAGTCTGTGAAGAGAAACTAAGACTGAGAACATTTAAAACATTGTTTGACCTGAAACTGAGTTCTTGACTTGCTCTTTCAATAGAATTATTTAATGCTTCAAGATCTTTACCTTTTGTAAGAGATTCTGTTCAACTGGGCCAACTGCTGCTTCCTTATGTTCTTTCACCTCTTTATTTTTGTGATGGTGCCTTGCCTATTTTTGTAATGCAGAATGGGAGGTGTAGAGGGGGTGGAAATTGAGACATCATTTGCTGTCTGCACATTAAGAAGTGACAAAAGGATTTGTTCAGTAGCCATTGACCTGTCCTGTTCCATCCTAAAACTCAGAGGGCAGATGGGAGGTTGAAGGGATGTGTTTTTTCATTCCCCTGTTAGAATTTCTGGGGTCATAAGAGAATATTCAAGTTCTCTCACATTCAGGTGTGCTTTGGCCTTGAAAAATTAACAATTTCCTTTTAGCAGTTCAATAGTGGGTGTTTTTTAAAAAAATGTATTATGTAAAGGAGATGGTGGTAATTACTCATGAATGTTACATTTTCACCATTAATTTCGGTCTGTGGGGTTTTTTTGCCAGAAGTTAAGGGCATGTTCTTTCTATGGTTTCATTTGTCTCTTAATTGTTGATAAATTCTGAAAGTGTAAGAAGCAAAAGAGTTGTTACTTAACATTCAAAGCTGTTTCTTCAAGACTATTACTGTACAAGTAACATAATAAACTTATTCTTTGGAAGTAGGTATGTCTCATATTGTCAGGATGAGAGAATAGGATGCCAGGAGCTCTTATCTCCCCTTATAACCATAGTCTTTAAGAAAAGACCAGCAAAAGGTGTTCAGTTTATTTTCCTTATTTTCTTCTTTATATTTTATTTATTTCAAAAGTACTCTGAAGGGGTGGTGTTATATTTTGGTATTAGAGACACCAATATTGATTTAATAATAATTCATTTAGTTCTGCATAATTACCATTTATATATCTAAAATCAGAAAGTATGAATACCTCTAAGTTACTGACCTACATAATAATGCTTTTCTTTCAGATTCTCTTTGACCAAATCCAAAGATCAATTAAAACACAGCTTCAGACTTTTGTTAAAGAGTAAGTTCATTTGCACTTGTAATGGGAAAACTATATGTAAAATAGAATTTAAAAACATTTGCTTTGAGTGGGTTGGTGAAAACATCCTTCCTGCAAATATCCAGCCATAAATTGAGAAGTTTGTAGTAAAGTTGTCAGATATCACCCCAGATCACTGAGGCTCTAGATCCAGCTGCAGAAATATTGAAATAGTATGAATTACTGATCTTAAGTACTTGTTGTAATTGTCTGAGCTTGGGGGGAAAAAGTACTGGCCAAAGCTTGTCTCCAGTAAGCACGAGATGTGTTTCTTTACTTGTCAGTTTTGTCCTTTCCTCAGAAAAGACTAAGAAGCTTCTGTTACAATTTGTGAGTTCCCATTTGACCCAAGCATGTATTGAAGAATATGAAAACAGAGAGGCCACCTAAGGCAGTTGTGAACATGGTCTGTCTAATGTAGCTTTAAACACTTTTTCATGCTTTGGAATTAATTTGTTATCCACCTTTCCTTTTTCTTTAGAGATATTAGGAAATTTAAAGATGCAAAGAAACAGTTTGAAAAAGTGAGTGAAGAAAAAGAGAATGCTCTGGTGAAAAATGCCCAAGTTCAAAGAAATAAGCAGCACGAAGTAGAGGAAGCAACCAATATTTTGACTGCAACTCGGAAGTGTTTCCGACACATAGCTCTGGATTATGTTCTTCAGGTAAGTGCAGCAATTAAAGCTACTTTTCAAAACCATTTGTTACATATTGTTAGAGATGTGTCCTTTAGAAGTTCCTGTTGCAAGCTTCTTGGAAGCTGTGCAGAGAGTGAAAAAGGGAGAACTTCATCTGCAAGTAACTTATTTTTTTAATAAAATCTAGAGAACATTAATTTACTTGATGCATTCTTATTGCTTGGTTCTTCAGTATTCAGTGCTCTTACTGTAATGGCACAGTTTAATTTTCAAGTTGAACATTAGCTTTGAAAAAATCCCAATATTTACCTGACATTCACCTAAATGTTTCATGAGTTGATTATGCTGTAATTCCTAATATATATGAAGTAAAACCTTTAACCTAGCCTAGGAAATACAAGTTACCTGAATAATTCTGATATAGGATGTTGGCTATTTCAGCTGTTAGCTTTGGTTTTTATTTAACAAACCCAAGTTGTTTAGATGCCTGAGAATCTGGCATTTTGCCATATGGGAGGGCAAGAACTTAGAACTGTCCTTTTACTTTTTAGTGCAGGTCTCCCATAGAGTGTTGAGAAGTATTCTTTGTCATACTGCTTTGAATCCTGTAATACAGTAATAAATTTTCTTTTGATAATTAAAATTCATCTGTTTCATACTTGCACACAGCTACAGCAAAACAGAATTATTGCAACTCAGATGGTACGAGAGGTTGAGGGCTCCTAAATGGGCCTGAGGTTCTCCTATAACCAAACACAGAACAACCCTTTACAGTTAAATTGATTCTATGTTAGACATTATCATCTTGATTTGTGACAGTCCAGTCAGTTATTTAAAGCTTAATTAACTGTTCTATAGCTTGCATTATTACCTGTAAAGTGAAGTGGAACTGATCAGCCCGGGCACATGCACAGATATGATGGTCTGTGGTCAATCTGAACCTGAACTCCTGTCTTTTTTGCACTGAGAACAAAGATAATTTTGGTGTTTAAAAAGTCATGTAAATTATGTACCAATGGAATATTTGTGCTAACTAGTGTGATGCACTAAATGGTGGGGGGGGAGCTGGCAGTCATTACTGTAGTAGGCCAGTTTCTTGTGTGTACATGGAACTGCATTGTCTCCTGCAATTTGTGTGTTCAAAGTATGAGCAGTTCCTGGGATAAAGATGCATTTAAAGTTACAGGGAAGAGTTTCAGCATCTCTTAATTAATGTGGGCAAAAATGAATTCAGCTTTGGAAATTCTTTCTACTTGGGTGGCTCTTCTGAAAAAGTGGTTTCACAACTATGATCTCCTTGGAGCTAGATTGGCTTTAAATTGTAATTCAAAACCTTTTATTTTATTTTAATTTTTTTGCCTCATAAGTTGAGGGGTTATTCTATACAAACAAATCTTAATTATTTTTGCTGCAGAAGGTTTTCTAAAATACTGACCACTTAAGTAGAGAAGTGCAATCTGGTTTTGATTATATCTTCAGTAAGTTTATTTCTTTTGCTGGAATTTTAAACTGACATAGAGGTGTTAAATTACAAAATCATGCATGTTTCTGCTAAGCTGGGCTTTTCAAGTAAAGTCTGTAGTTCTGGATGTCAGCCTTTAAAGATTAGGGAACAAAGAAGATAGAGGAACTGGATGAATGGGAAAAATCAGGTGGTTTTTTTTTTCTATGGAATGTGAAATCTTTAAGTTCTAGGGCAACACCGCTGGTCAGTGACTTCAGATAGCTTAAAAGCACAAATATACCTGGAAAGTTACTTATTGAAGCTGTTATGATCATGCTTGTTTCTGAGACTGGGACAGTATCCCACTTTTGGGACACTTAAACACTGTCAGTCTGAGGGGAAAAAATAACCATGCCCCCATCCTTTCCTCTCCCCTGGCAGCAGACAGCAGTGGTGCTGAGTGCAGCTTCTTTAGGAAGTTGGTGGACTGGCTGAGCTCACACTGTCAGAAAGGCTGTTTGAAACATCTTGAGTTCAATCTCTTGGAAATGGGTACCTGTTTTCCTGGCTTGAAAGGCGTATTATATTACTTCTAGCCAGCACGTGGTGTCCTGTATTCTCCCTTCCAGTGTAAGAAAATGGTGACTATCACTGTGAAATTCGAGCTTTGCAAGTGTTCTCTGGTTGCATCATTTTGATATCGTGGCAGAACTAGAATGCATCTTCTTTTAAAAGTGCTTTGTGAAGTCTGATGTTATCTTCTTCCAATGTTTTAAGCTTTGATATGATTATTTGGAAGTAATTTGAAGTTTACTTATGTGGGGAAAAATTGCAAAAATAGAATAAAATAAGTTGCTTGTTTGCTCTTTTTTTCTAGATCAATGTTCTTCAATCTAAAAGGAGAGCAGAAATCTTAAAATCGGTAAGATGCACTTTATGTTCTACATAGAAAATATTTACACACATCTAAAATTAAAAATGTGACCATAAAGCAATATGTTAAAAACTTGATCCTTTTACTCATCAAAGCATTATTGGTACATTTAGCAATTTGGTGACAGTCATTTTGACCATTACCATGACTGGGTGTACATGTTTAACTGCTTTTGACAGTCCTTTTGGTTCAGATTTGAACACTTTTTTAGATTTTTCACTGCTGGGTTTCACGGTTAAAGTGAAACTTTGCCAAGAATTCTGCTGTTTAGGTCTGGTACATTACTTCATAAATGATAAGTACTACTTATAATCTATTACTACTGTTCTAAAAGGTATTCAACTCTTTCTAAGAAGAGGATAATTTTTAATATAAATAGTACGGTATCTGCTAAATTAATAAACAGCTATATCTGCATGCCAATTTTCTTCTGATTGTATTCCCTTTTCTGTTTCACATTATCTCTGTAAAAAGTTTATTGAGGTAGGGACTGACAAACTAAATGGTGCTTTTCTATCAAATGTCTAAAGTTGCCCTCCCATAATTTTTTTAATTCCTTTAAACAGGAGATAATAAAATTGACATGAATTAGAAGTAATTTTCTGCCCATAAGTAGATTTCTTTTGTTTTGCTCATGGGGTTAATCCCATCAACTGATTTCTGAGATTTTTGGCCTGGTTCTTTGCTGCCTTTACCTTTCACATTTATTTTACAACACTGGAAGCTCTATGAGGTATTGCTGTAAAACTATCAGGACACAAGAGCAGAAATTAAACATGGAATTGTATTTTATGTTGGTTTCATGTGGATTACTTAAGTGATGTGTTTACATGATATCTGATATATTTTTTTAAAAGAATAAATATTTACTTTTCCCTTCTAGATGCTATCATTTATGTATGCACATCTGGCTTTTTTCCATCAAGGCTATGATCTGTTTAGTGAACTTGAGCCCTATATGAAAGATCTTGGTGCACAGGTAACAAATTATTTTAAAAGTTCATAACTATATGCTGGAATGGATGAAAACCTGATATATGCCTATGTATCAGGTACATCATAGATTTATTCAACAAAAGGGGAACTGTGGTATGATAAAGGCAAAGCATAAAAACATACTGTAAATGGCTTGAATGAAACCAGTTACAAACTGAAAGTTGTCCATTTACTAAAATTAATACTGCCTTTAGGATTTACATACTTAAAAATAGCCAGGAGTGCTCTTTGAAGTACCCTGTGGTATCCAGGACACTGAGGTATTTCTTTTTTTTAATTTTTGTATATGACCCATGTTATAAATATATTTAATAATAAAAAGTAGGTTAGGTTTTCCTTCCACTCGTGTGCTTTATTTACTGTATAAATTATGTGGTGTGCATAATTAAACTTTGATGTGTGCAAAAATAACTTCAGTGTTAGCAACTTAGACCATAAAATGGAAGTCTGATTTTAATAAGTGGTGCAAAATTGAGTTCCTACATGGAATCCTTCTTGCCCACTTTTGTTGTTTACTTTTAAGAACAGGCAATTGCAGCTTCTGGGTTTTCAGTGAGGGACTCATGAGAAGGTTAGATGGACCACTGCCAGCTGCACACAAGAGACATTGAAAATGGTTATAAACATAGATTACAACATATGAGATTCGAATGTATGTCTGTGGTACAGGAAGAAGACTCAGCAGTGTCTTGACTTGTTTTCAGTGCAAGTTAAATGGGCCTGAAAATCCTCTTACAACACTTTTTATTTGCCTACATCTGAGGACTTGTAACAAGTGCTCTGATAGAAACTCCTTTATTGCCACTTCCCAACCAGATACACCATGCTGCCAACCCAAATTCTAAGTGTCTCTCCAGGTACAAAAGCAAGTAAATGACAGCAAACATTTTTTTACATTTATCTTGAGTAGATGTGTCCCTGAATGTCTAAGAAATTACATTGTTCTGATCTGGTTATTGCTGCCACCACACTGTTGTCCTCTGTACCCCTCAACCTGCTTCTGTGTCTGTGCAGTGAAGCAAATTGGGAACTGTAGAAAATAACTCCCAGCAATCCAATGTCTGAATAGTTATTTTTCTGCGAGACAAGTCCCCAGTCGGGTTACTGTGGGTCTTGACTCCTTGTAGAAGAAACACATCAGTGTTTGCCATAATAGTGGCACCTGAACAGTTCAGGTGCATGTTACCCTTCCTTAGTTGTGCCCTTTATTCTTTCACATCCTTCTGGTTTGGGTTGTAATTGTTGAACTGGGGTGTTTTGGTAACATAAAATGTGTGTCCTGTACCTCTGTGGAAGAGGGGATGGGGAAAGGAAACAAACCTATGGAGTTGGTAGTGGTTTGTGCTGCTGACCAGGCTTCAGTTTTTCCATTTCATTGACATGATTGGAACAAGAAAACACAAGGTTATTTCTGAATGTCTGGTCATGCTTTTGCTTGCTCTGGTAAGGAGCACTGTGTAACATTGATTTTGGTGCTGGTATCATAGCAACTGAAGGAGTTAAATTTAGCAAATCTGAAGCTGAGAATGTTTTAAATACATTGCAATTAGAGCAGGATAGACTGAAGACCCTGAAGTTGTACAATTGTTCTTTTGTGGCAGACCTTGGCATTTAAGTAACGGATATTTTTCATGACAGAAGCAGGCTTGTAAATAACTGTTGAAAGTTTAACAGTTAATGGCTTTGCAGTTTATACTGGTTGAAGCTTCTGTCTCTAACAAAGTGTGTGTGACATAATTGGGATTTGCTGGATTTTTGTGACAACACTGTTAGATTCCTTCTGTTGGTGAGTGAGTTTTCTTTCCCAGGTAAACTTCATATATGATCTTAATTACAAGGTTTAACAGCACCTGAAATAAAATTTAAGTGTTCTTGAATAGTGTAGTTATAATTTTTGAATTCTTTTTCTTTATATTTTCAAATAACTGTTTTACATGATGGAGTAGGATTGAGCAGTTTTGCTTTCTGGTCGGGGTAGGATCCCCTGTGAATCAGATCCTTGTAGGGGAATCTTCAATGACACAGAAGAGTAATATGAGCTTTTGCATGGAAATTATGGAATTTGGCACTTTTCATGTGAAATATGGTTATCTTAAAAAGAAAATGTAATTGAATTTTCTTTGAGATGACTATTCAAAAAGCTAAACATTTTAGTCTGACTTAATTCTCTACAGAATACCACCTACAGCACTATGTTTATAAAAATACATTTGCCAGTAAATGCAGTAGTTTGAAAAACCTAATTTTTTGAGAAATACCCAGTAATGGTATAATGACTGGGATTTTGGTAGTTATTTTTAGTTATGTGATATGCTACAGCCTTTGATAGTTGTATGCTGTTAGTCTCTTTTAAGACAGTTGGTATGCTGCTCACCTGAGTGAAAAGGAAGGAATTCTGATTTGAGCTTTCGAACAGGAATGATGCAATGCTGTCTTTATAGTAAAAAAATAACTTTATTTTTATAGTATAACTTTGTACTTTATAGTAAAAAAATGATGGAATGAGCTGCTGTTAAAACTTTGCTTTGGCACTTATGCTGTGGTAAATATATCCTTTAAGATAAATGAGAGGTAATTGCCCTACTCTGAATGTGGCTGTCTTTTGTTTCATCTAGCGGGGTAGAAGGAGGAATTTCTGGGGGGCCATGTGCAGATTCCTGAATCTGAAGTTTTAACAAGAAACTGGATTCCTATGAAGTTTTGAACAGCCTTTAGATCAGTTCTCATCTTTATTCCCAAGGGTTCTTGGTGCAAAATAGTCTTTGAGAACAATGGCATCCCAGCCTCTGTTTTAGAGGCTCTTGTGTCATTTTTAAGTCCTATAGCTACATAAATGTGACATCTGAATACTTCAGTCTTCAGTGCGTTCATGTTCACAAATACCTGTAAGGTGTGAAAGTGCTGGTGTGGCCTTTTGAGCCAGAGAGGAAGACAGGGAGAGAGGAGTTAAGGAAGGTAACAGTGTGGAATTGGATCCAGATGTCCCAGCTATCCGGTGGCTCCATAATTGTTGGGGATTGTCTAGCACAAGGGTGTAAGAGCCTGTTACTGTCACTTCTTTTCTCATTTATGTCATGTCAGGCAGGGGAAATAAAACACTGGGGAAATGGCCAGGGTTGGCAGGGCTTGTCACTTGTGGTTCTGAGAGTGGGTGGAGGCAATCCTATTTGTGTGTGGATTAGAGGTTCTGTTAGTCACACTGTGCCTTCCGCCACGTGACTGACTTAGCTGGAAAGCTGGTGCTGCTCCCTGTTCCTGGTCTTCTCGTTCTAGGCCTGGAGCAGAGCCAGGTCTGTCTCACAGATGGAAAGCTGCAGGCTGTGCACTGTGCTCAGCATTGCATTGGCATGGTTAGTCAGTGAGATGCTGGGACTGGGTTAGTGACAGGCTTGTGTTACAGGCTGGAGAAAGGAGTTCATCAGATTCCTGTCGCGTAAGTACCAAGCTGACTGGTCTTTCAGGCAACATCTGCCTGTCCACTGCATTTCTTATTTAAACATGAAAGTCTGTAAAAAACAAACAAGCATAAAACAAAAACAAAAGAAGCAAACCCACTAAACAAAAACAACAACAACAAGACCCCCAACCAAACAAAAAAAACACAGAAACCCCCAACCAAACATACGTTCTCATACAGGATATTTGGTTCTGTAAAATTTCCTGTGTTTTTTGGTTTGGTTTTGTTTTCTGGTTTTATAAGGAAAAGGTTTATGTGGTAGTGCTAGAGAAATGCTTGCAGCAAGTTTTAGGGCTTTTTTATTATCACTGTAAGGATGCCAGCTTAAATACTGTGACAGTCTCTCCTCTTTTCAAAATCATATTGTTGTTATTTCTGAAACTAGAAACAATTTGAATGCCTTTACCTAAGATTTCAAGGAATCTTGCTCAAACACTGTTGGTGACCTGATCAAAACTATCTATGCAAAAGCCTGGTTGAGGCAGTTCCCCTGCTTTGTGGAGGGAAAAATCCTTGTCATTTGCTCCTTGTAGTCTCTGCTGCTCCTGCCAGTGCTGCTGCAAAGGCCAGCAGGAGCAGCTAAAGCCTGAGTCATCCCCCTCGGAGGCTGAGCACCAATGCGGTGCAGAGTTGCTGTGCTTGGCACCATGCTGTTCTTTGAAACATTCCCTCTAGTGCCTACAAGAAATGTACACCTCTGTAGAGGTTAATTCAGGATGGTAGTGCAGTGCTTTAAACGAGGCTTCAGTGGTTATACAAGGTAAACACTTTGTGACAAAGAAGTAATTATACTATGCAAATAAAATAAAAGTCGTGCAGTGTCTAGACATAATGTGTTCTCTTTTTTTTTTTTGTCAGCATTATGAAATCTACTGAGCTAAATTTCTCGTGATATCTAAAGATCCAATTTTCTGTTTCTCTTTACAGCTGGATCAGTTGGCTGTAGATGCTGCAAAGGAGAAGAGAGATATGGAGCAAAAGCACTCCACTATTCAACAAAAGGTACTTGAGAGAATATAAAAGGCAGGCTGCACACACATTTTTGTATCTGTAGCATCTCTTCCCAGCAGTTTGCATCTCTGCATCAGAACAGTGAGGGATGGTATCTTTTAGTGCAGAGAGACAGATTTACACATCAGTAAGCACAGGGTCAGATTGGAGATATTAATTTTGTTTTACAGAACCAAATATTATGTTTTTACTGAAACATGAATAGAACAGTATAATTTATTCAAATGCTGGGATTCTAACATTTCAGTTACCTCTTGGATTCAATGCAGTTGTACAAGTTGCTGTGATTCCCTGCTGTGTGTCTGTAGAAGAGGGGTGTGTGCTGCACAGCCCTACAGTCACACACATACACAGCACTTTGGGCTGTGCCAAATATGAGTGCAGCACTTTGAGATGGTGTGGCAGCTGCTGTCGCATATAAAGAGCAAAAGTGAACTTTTGGAAAGGCTGTGTAATGCATGGGTTTAACTGTACACAAATATGAAAGTGATAACATTGGATTCCTGCTTTGGGAAGATTTTTATGTGCAATAATTTTCTTCCTTTTGCTTGTTGAGAAAAACGTAGATAGTTTATGTTGAGGGGGGAAATGACTTCTGTTGTTTGGATGTTTCAGAAGCTCTAGGTCAGTATTGGTTTTGCAGGTATAATACTAGAAGTTAAAAATATTTCCACTGAACTCTGGTAGTGAGCTGCAGGTACTTTTGAAAGGGATTAGATACCAGTTTAAAGGAATGCTACACTTCTTACTCTCATTCAAATATGTTCTGTATCCATTCAGATGGCATAAATTTTAAAAAAAAAAAGCTCAATGTAATTGAAATCTGACGAGTAAATAAATTCAGAAATTAAAGCAAGTGGAGATTATAGTTGAGGTAACCTTCGTAGGAGCCAATATTAATACTAATGGGAAAAGGTAACATTTTTGGTTGCTGAAAACATTTTTGTTGGTTCATCCTGTCATTCCTTCAGGAATGGGTGGGAAACAATAGGGTTGCTGTGAAATCGAGCAGATGTGATGATGGAGTTTAGGACAGTCCTGATGTGCTGTGTTTGGAGGCAGACAGGAGATAACAGAAAAGGAAAGGGAAGAAAGAGGGGGAAGTGGGAAAGAGATGGAACTGGAGAATTAACATTGAAATTCAAATTTTAATTTGTTTGGGCTTAATAGGCCTAGTTTTAGGAATGGGCACTAGTTGAGGAGGTTACTGTTAGAGAACAGTGGTGCTTGGTGAAGTATGTAAGTTATAAGCAATTATCTTTTAATTAGCCATAGGAATAATAACTTGTTACTGTGAATTATGGTTGGTGTTTACAGTCTTTGTTTTTTCTTCAAATGCTGCTTAAGGCTGCCTTACAGGTAAACTATTTTTAGTAGTATCAAATATCACTGAAGCTTTTAAGCTTCATGAAACTCGATAAGTCGTATTTGTGTGTAATATAAATGTTCTTGATTTCTAGTACAAATGGCAATCACAATGAGGTTACTTATATTGTTGCTTGCTTTAATTGACAAGGCTGTCTCTAAAATATAATCAGGGCAGTCAGATTGTATTGTATGTTGCCCTTTTAAATTCTGTGTCTCGAGTTATGTATGTTGTCTCCTGTCCTTGTCAGTCACTGTTGCATTTTTGTGATGATAATGCCTGGACTGTGCTTTCTTGGAGATTGCTCTTATAGCTTCTCCAGTCATTTTCTTGGATTCTTATTCAAATCATGTTGTCTGTTTTTGTCTCCTCCTACTTGCTTTTCCCAGCCTTCACACAAAGTTAGTTTCCAACTCATCAGGATGAGAACTGCCTTAGACCTTGGATCTTGTTCTTTGTATCATTATTTGTCATCTGGTCAGTTTGACCCGGATGGCAACTCTATTCTCTGTTCCCATGTCTTGTCATGTTGCTTTCTACTGTGTTGCCTCTTAGACATACATTCCCAAATCTTTCCATGTTTTATAAAAACTGAAACTTCTGAAGCTGCTTGTGTTGAATATCCCACGAGGTATATGTGCATTTAATATACTGAAGTTTTAATCTAATGCTTCAGAATGATGCCTTTCCTTCATTGTGTGGATAAAGAACAGTTCCTTTTCTGAAATGTATAGGTAAGTGCATATGTGCACACACCTACCCACCCACTACCTGTGTTTGCATATATGTGCATATGCATGCAAAGTAATTGCACTAATTAAATAATCCATCTCACTTTTCTGTAGAATCATCATCCTATTCATTTAGGCTGTTGTTGAAGAGGCTAATACAGGTGTCATGGAAGGGCTTGGTCACCGATATAGTGTGATTTCTTTTTTAAGAGAGCTGATATCTGATTTTTGTTTGTTTTATTTCTTTTAAGTGTTGAGGTCTATTGACACAGAAAATATGCAGGAAACAATTTTATTTTCTTTAGTGTAAGAAATTATTTTTTCCATATTAAACTGGAGCAATACATACTATGAATTAACCTAGAAATGACATCATCATTCTGGGAAATTTTTGCAATATATTTTTATAGGAAAAAAGAGTGATGTCACAGTGGCAATACTTAAGACATTACTTTTGTGTGAGCAGTTTGCAGCCCACTGCTGCAATAACATATTGAATTAAGAAATAATTTAAAAGTCACTTGGACCTGTAAACAGCATTATGGCTTTTTGGTTTTGTGACAGAGCTAATATTTTGTTCTAAAATAAGGGAAATAATACAGGAAAAGTTATTTCTTTTGAACTTCAAATAGTTTTCGTTGTATTCAAATCCCTTTTTCATTAAAATAAAAATCTGCTTCCGAAAAACTGCTCAGGAAACAGCTGGAGTGAGAATGATTTGAAAATTTTTAACATCTTGAGTAAACAAGGTGGTAGGAAACCAGATGCTACCACAGTCATGTGAACCAGAGCTGCTGTTGAGAAGTAATGCAGACTAATTCCTGCCTCCAAAAGCAAAGATGTGCTCATGTTTCAAGTGACTTGTTTGCTCAGTGACGCTCTTGCCTTCTCTCTCTGTCTTGGATTAAAAACCTTGTTACTTGTTGTGTCTGTTGTTGTTTTAAGCCCTTTCTGGAGGGACTTTCGGCTTAAGCATGACAAACATTTCTTGCTGATCGATGGGGAAGGGAATGGAATGGAAGCAACTTTCTGAATGGGGGGTTTGCACAATTATTGTCCTTTATTTAGTATATTCTGGCCTAACTTTTCAGGTTAGCGTTTTCTTTGGTAGTTACACTCCCCCATTTACTTCCCTTATAAAAAACTTTTAAAATGCTGCATCTTTAGAGTAAAAAACCATTTTGAAAACGTATTCAATGTTAAGATGAATGTTAAGGTTCAGTGTTAAAATACAGTCCCTAAGATTTACTGGTAAAATGGCTTGAACAGCTTTCATGACCTGATAGCAATTTTCATGTTGAAAGTAAATCAAAAGCTCTGCTGCTGAAAAGCATGGGAGGGGTTGTTTTGGTAACAAGAGAATTGTATGTAGAGAAACATAAAACATGCAAGCTATGAAATGAATCAAGTATGTGTGATGAATTGATATGTTCATATGAAAACACTGTCAAGAATATTAAGTGTTCTGTGACACACCAGATTAGTATTATTTCTGGAGATGAAAGTTGTTTTTCCATTTCCAGCTGGTTTGCTGTACCTCATGGACATTTAAAGAAAAAGAGGGGGAAAAAAAGGCATTGAAAACATGCTGTATGCATCACTTATATAACCCACTTATACATGTTTGCTTTCCAGTAGCAGCCAACCATGAAAAACGAGTGTCAGACTAGAATCCATAGATGTTTCTTCTTTCAAATCTGAATGAAATGTGTGATGTAGCACTTCAGTGTAACTTGCATAATACTGGCTTGATTTTCTTCGTTCTGATTAGGTGAAATGTACTTTTGCCCTAACTGACACCTAATTAGTAGACAAATTATGTTTAAAATAAAATTTATCAGTTGTGTACCTGCTTAATGAACACAAAATTCTGAATCACATACAGTGACTGGGTTTATTAACATGTGATTCTCTTATGCAGGACACTGGAAAGATATGGATGTATTTCTCTCCACCCCCTGATGATTCTTCATGATTCACTAAACTTTTCCATATACCAAGTTAAAAATAAACTATAATGTGACTGCTTTTCTCCAATTTTTTAATTATAAAATAGCAGAGACTATAAGATCAGATACAGCTTATCTAGTTTCTTGTCCTACTTGTATCCATGTAATTGAAATGAAGTGGGGCATGGTTTTTTGTGATTGTTTGGTTATCTTTTTCCTGACCACAACTTTATTAATGAAGTTTTATGGATAAAGCATATGGAAGCCTTACTCCCTCCTCCTCGAGCTGGTAGTCTGCTCTCTGCAGTTAGGAAGCTATTTAACATTTGTCTGTATACTCTTGTGTCTTTTTTTGCTGTATAAAGGTGGAATTCAATCAGGGAAGTCATTAAAATAACACTAAATGCACTTCATGAGGAAGGGTCAGTGTTTTAGACAATTTGGACTGAGACTGTGGCGTGATAAACAATCCAAAGAAGGTTTCCTGTCATACTTGTATTATGTCTTCAAAGCACGGATCAAGACTCATTGGAAAAGACAGTTACATTTTCTGCAGCAGTTCTCCAAACCCCAAGGAAAATGTGATTACACAGTAGTTTGATCAGAAAAGACTGAGGGAATGTATGTTGTCTTTCACTAGACAAGGAGTTGCAAGCATCACTGAGGCAGGAAGATGCAAATCTTTAGCAGGTTTCATTATGTTTGGGAGCTGGTAAGTTAGAGTAATTTATCATTTTTGTGGGAGGGAGGGAATGTGACATCAGCCTGTCAAAGTTGTGCTTATAGTGGTTTTCTTTTTTTTTTTTTTTGAGAACATAAGAAACCAAAAAGAGTTTTTAACACTGAGAAAATTTGTGTGTGTCATAAGTTGTGAAATAAATTGTAGTGTGATACTTAGGTGTTTGTGCTTACATTAAGTCTTTTATATTCAGCATGTTCTGATCTCCAAAACAGGCAAAAAATCAAAGTTATTAAATGCCAAATAATAAATGCACAAATGCAGACATCTTCCATTGATCATCTGTCAGTTAAATAATCTGGATTTAACATTTCAAATTTAGTTAATCTATTTAGATTGGTACTAGCTAAAAACACTGAGTAAGTTTAGGGTATTTATGCTGTGCTGACCAGGGAGTTTAAAGGCCCCATTTGAATATTTGTAGCCATTTCACTGTCATGTCTAATTAACCTTGGATTGGACCAAACCATCTGCATGTATAAGACCAAACATCATGTGTAGCACAAAAGTTGTGTGCAGCCCAGGGTGTTACGTAGGGCTGCTGATGTTGGTTTTGAAGCTGATTACCTTTTATTTCTTTTTTTTGATATTACCTCTTTTCCTCATGTACATAGATAAATTCCTAAGGAACAAAGTGCAAAGCAGACTTACAGATACACTTTTCACACAGAGCTGATGTTTGCAATGTAAAATAAGTAACTGCTGAAGGTTCAGGAGAGTGATATTACAAAATGTTCTGTATCTTCAGTATTTAACCTGTTCATTTTTTTTTTTCTGAAAGCTAATTTTCAGTGATGTGTCTCTTATGCCCTTGTAAAGGGGAAGAAGCCATATGTTGCTAGTCTACTTTAGGATATATTGAACTAACAGTGAAATTACAGCATGTATGTTATTTTGATATGTGGACATAGCATATGATAAATTATGTGATTCCATTCCATTTTCATGCACCCCTAGTAGCTGTTAGCCTCCCACTCACTGAATATCTGAACTCTACCTCCCTGGGAAGAGTCCATGCTGTTTTCAATGAGATGTGAAAGCAAATGATCACCACATGTATTATTACTTAGTCTAATCTGCCTTTGCTGGAGATGTGAAGCAGTCAGCCTTCTAAAATTTGTAAAGATGCTATTAACTGTTATTAGGTGATGTTATTTGTTATTAAGTTGATGAAAATGTATATTCCCTTGTCCTACCTGTAGTTTCGTAATCTTATCCAAGATCATAAAGGAAAAACTACTAAGTTCTTGTCATCATTTCCAGCACTGTGACTGCTTTAATTTAGAGTTAACTGATGGCATCATCTTTATTTGATTACTTGTCTTCTAAATTCATGTTCAGCTCAATTGTCAAGATGACAGAGCTGAAGGAAATGCTGAAGCACAACTGGCTTTATTCAGGTGTCTGCAACAGGCTGCAGCTGTTTTTCAGTTTTGATTCCTGACTTTCATTGCCCCATTTCCTGTGCTTTGCTGTCCCTCTCCTTGGGAATATATGTGAGATCATTTGAGCAGTTGAAGCTGCTCAAATGAGATGCTCTGTTAGCAGATGCTCTGTAGAGGTCACCAATACCTGAGCAAGAAATTCCCCTTGTGTACAGGTAAAATAAAAATCTTCAGTGTTCTGATCTCCTAAAACTGCATTTAAAAAAAAATCTTCAGGGACTGAGTCATGGTTTGACTATTAAGTGCTGCAAGCAAAACATCATTCCTAGATATGTTTACTCTTTGACAATAGTACTGCCCATACTTGAAATTTCATTTGAAACTGCAATGTCTTTTTCTTGTCTTGTTCCTTTGTCCTAGGATTATTCCAGTGATGATACAAAACTAGAATACAATGTAGATGCAGCCAATGGTATTGTTATGGAAGGTTATCTGTTTAAGCGAGCCAGCAATGCCTTCAAGACTTGGAACAGGTAATTATTGAGAATCTCTATTTGCTGCTTATAAAGATACTACTTGGTAAGCTGAATTCTGGTCTGACTTAAAATCTGTGTAACTCTCTGATTCCACAGCTTTGACAGAACACTGGGGTGACTCTGTTAATTAAAGTAGAGATGACACTTCAAAGCCATTTTTCCTTGTTTTCTGTCCTAATTGTTTGCAGACCTTTTTTAAGAGTGTACCTTTGTTTGTAAAAGTCCTATGTATGGAAAGTCTACTTTGTTGGGTGCAACCTTGCTTTGTAATTGTGCTTTGGCCTTACTTTGGGGTTGAAACAGAGCAATCCTTGTGATTGCATACAATAAACTCTATGAGTGGATATGCTAGGAAAGTATTAGAAGACAAACTAAATTGGAAGTTGGGTGGCCAGTGGAAACAGGGAAACACAGTCAAGCACTCAAGCTATTTTTCCTGAAAGATAAACAATGTAATTGTTATATTTTACAATTCCTGTCTTGTGCAGTGACTTTTGCTAAGTAGTTTTGATGGTTCTTTTGAAAATTCAAAGTATGTTGTTAGTCATATATTTTTAACAATGTACATTTTACTATTTAAATATTTTTCTCCCTGAATAGGATTTCTTTTGAGTTTCCGAGGGTATATACTTTTCTCATGGAAATGCATATGCTGGAGCATTTATAGCACAGTTGGATACAGTTCTTGAATTTTAAAGATAATTTGTTGTAATACAGAGTTCTTTTTCCTATCTCATGTTCTGCAATTTTTTCAGCAGTGCTTCTGTTTAACTTTTTGCTTTGTTTCAAAGGCCAGTATATGCATTTGGATGTGTGGTCCCTTCCAGTCTTAATTATTCTATACTGTATTGAGCATCTTGGAACACCACAAATCTGTAATAAATTGGGATTGCTTCACTTCAATCTGTAGACTGATGCAAGGGCTATGCTGTCAATAAAACTGTATCTGTATTAGCAAGTCATGGGCAGCTTGTACACAGGATTTTGCTTTGGACTAATTCTGTTCTGGTCCTATGGTCTGATTATTTGTCTGTAATTGTAATGTACCTTCTGGGTTAGTTTCCTACAAGCAGAATTCAGAGTTCTCTGAGACAAATCTGTGAAGCATCAAAGAACGGCGAAGGGAGAAAATGGGGAGATGTGCTTCCAGAGCATATTCCTGGGGTGAAGTAAAACGTTAGTGTGAGAATATGGAGAAAAATCTGCAGTAACAGGGCAGGACATTGTCCTTTATTGGGTTCTTAGTGGGCTGAAAGGTGGAAACACCTTTTTGCCAAGGTGTTTTGTGGGATTAACTGAAGGCAAAACTGACTCTCTCTGAGTTCCTCTTTTGGGTAACAGGAAGGCCTTCCTCTTCAGGGAGGTGACAGGAGGGAGCAGGAGAGGGGTGCTGGAGGATAGTTGGGTAATATTCTCTTTCCACATGGCTCCATATCTAGTAATACTGTGCATGTATCTTACCTTAAAGTGTTTAGAGAGTAGGATTCAATTAAAACTGACTTCTGTATGTTGGAAATTTAAATAGACACAAAGTAAATAAGTTGTAATTAAATCAAGATACACCGTGACATTCCTTCAGATTAAGTTACAGGTTTGAACATACATAATAAGAGTGTACCCAAACAATAAGTTATTTAAGAGAGCCAAGGTAAACAGCTTGGTAATGAGTCAGAGCTACCTACTTTTATTACATAATTGATATTTACTTATAGTTTTTCTCCTGTTTATCACAGGAGTGTTCAATAAAGCAAAACCTTTAACCTTTTTAATATTAGATTCTTGATAATTTATCTCACTGTGATAGACTAGTTGGATGCTTCAGAATAAGAGAATAGGATTGGATATGCTATCTGTAAGCAGTTCAGAAATTGAATCAATGATTTTAATTTTGTATTTCACATATTCACAAACCACTACTAATTGTTATGAAACTACTACTGTCATACATAAAATATGCATTTAAGACCCTCATGAAGACAACTTTTAGTTTCTGAATCTAGCCCCTCCATTTTTTTCGATGTTTTAATAAAAATAGAGAGGTATTTTTGTGTTATTTTTATTTCTGAATACATTTGTAATTGCTTGTTATATTGTAGGCACTGGAATGGTCACTGCCATTTTCCACTGCCTGTTTCCCCTGATGGAATGCTTTACTTATGTAGTGTTGCAGTTTCAGCTGTGGGGAGCTAATACTGATTAAAGTTTACCATATATTAGAGATTAGAATGTTTTTCCAGTCACTAGGTAGAGTACAAGAAAGGACTGTGTCATTGCATTGAACTGTTTTATGTGTAAAAAAATATACAAAATATCAAAGCAGGAAACATTTAGAGAATTATGTATTTTATATGAGGGAATTCTGAGCTGAAGTCAGAGACCCCAAGACACACAAGATACTTTCAATGTTCTTATCAGATTGGTAGTTTGCTGCTTCATTATATGCCCATCTTTGGAAGGTGGGTGGAAAATCAACCAGCTGAAGCAAAACCAGAAGAATTTGCCCAGAAATACAGGAATTTCCTGCTGTTCTGAACCGAGGGCGACAGCACTGATCTTCCTGCTGACTGCTAATTGCACCATCAGTAGTAATATGTATTTAAAATGGAAGCTTCTCTTTTCCCTCTGCTGCTGTCACTTGTTATTTTGTTGGTTGTAGGCCTTTTTTAGAACTCCTTTAAGACCAAATTAAAGGCACCAAAAGCCATTACAATGACCACTGTTAGTGTAAATTTGCAAGTATTAAAAACATAAGGGAAAAGGAAATGGTACAATAGATTTTTGTCTAGGTTTGACACACATCAGTGTGATTCTAGCTGACAGACTAGAGAATTGTGATCCTTCTGTGTCACCTATTGTTCAGTGAATCTATGGACCCTCATAGTGGATTATGAGGGTCCCATATCCTGGAAAAAGCCTTGTTGTTGGGGGAGAAAAAAATCAAAACTGTATAATGCAACCCTTTGAAGGGGGGCAAATGTGTTGTAATGAATGAAAACTTCTTTTGTTTCCCGTCCAAGGTAATGTCTTGCTGGGATGATGAAGCTTCTTCCTAGGGCACCTGGCAGCTTGGGTTTCATAGTCTCAAGATTTTTATTATTTGGGCTTTTGCATCAAGTTTCCTGCTCTTGGAATGGTTCTGCATGACAGAAAACTTTGGCTTGAGAAACAAATAAGTGTTTGAGCAAGTTGCAGAGTAAACCACGAGCTAGCTGCAATTCAGTGTTGCTGTGCTTGGAAAGAGATGGAGATTTTGTAATCTCTTTTTGTTGTGACTAAAGGACAGTGTATAACGTACACGAGTATTTCAGATAATACCATTTAGTGAAATCAGAATTACATCTTTATACTGCTAAGTCTTACAGTAACAACTAGGGAGATATACCTGTGTTTTGAATGTGTGTCTATGTGTTGGTAAATGACATTCCTTATTGTACACCATTTTTCTTAAGGCATCAGGAGCTGGAGTCAGGTGCATTTACTATAGCACAGTAGCTGGAAAGCTGTTTTGGTTCCTAGAAATTCCAGTGAAAAATAAGTTCATATCATGAAGAAAGATATGCGTGAATAAATGTGTGTAGGGAGGAAAGCATTTGTCAAACCACTAGTATGTTCTAAATAGCATTTAGATTGGGTGCATTAAATGTTTTCCTTTTTAATTCTCTTGTATTTTCAGGTCATGCTAATTCTTTGCTTATTTTGCTCATTTTGCATTTTTCATTCCTTCTCCTCCTTTCCCTTATGTTTTAATCCTACCCCATTTTTTCACATGACAGGAAAAAGCCAGATCACATCAGGTACCAACCAGCTTCTTTTATACCTTCCCAATGTTTCTTTGGCACGCAAAAAGCTCTTCATTAACCCTGCATTTAATTTTGATTACTTGCAATGGATGTATAAGTGACTCAGTCTAAGAAAATAACAGAAGGATTCTGCCTGGGATGCCAGCATACCTGCTGCTCAACACTTTTAAAAGAATTAGAAAGATTGAGCTAGTTTTTAGCTAAAAAGGAATTAAAGCAAAGTCTCTGCACTCAAACTTCTGAGCGTACAAATCAGTGTTTTGACTTTTTCCAATTGAAGTTGGTGAGATTTTCTTTTTTCTTATCAACTGCATTGGGAATAGAGATGTACTTTTAAATGTTGTGCATTCTTAGTCACTCTGTTTTACTTGTGTGCTGCTTGCGACAAGAGAAGAAAACTGTTTCCTTTTAAGAATCAATAAGCATGATTCATTGTTTTTATGTAAAACTCAAGTTAAGTTCTATATTTTCAGTATTATTCTGTTCTCTGAAATCAGATTTTTTTTTATAAATTTTACATTATTTTATATTTAACAAATATGGTTTTGAATTGTTTAGATATAAAGGATGGAAAACATTCTGCTTCTAAACACAAACTAAATTTAAGCACTACTGAGACAGTGTAAATTACTTTTAAGATTCCCAAGTATGTTTTCTTCTTCACGATGCTTCTCTACTGTTTTTGACAGAGTGGCACATTTAAAGAAAGTGTGATGATAATCAGTACTTACTGCACACATGTTGCCTAAGGGTTTATGAACATTATTCTTACAACAGAATAGCTGTGGGCTACCCTATAAAAGCACCTTCATTGTCCCTCAGGAGTTCATGGCTGTTACTGCTGCAGGCCCCCAACATTCTGTTTCCTACATAGACTTTATTGATGGTATTTGGTTAATGAGGAATAACTCTGAAAGATTTTGACCTGAATAAAAGTACTATGGCACTGACACCTGGGGGGACAGTCTGCCACTTATATCTTGTCAAGCATACAGTAAATGCATCAGCTCTGATGTCTACTTCAAAGTGTGATCTGCAAGTTATCCTACATTCCAAATTGTTGATCTTGTTCAATAAAAGCTTCTTTTAAAAAATTACCAAAATCTGCAACCTTTTTAGCTGGACTGGAAATTTCTCTTCAACAGGTTTAATTTCTCTGCTAGGAAAAAAAGGGACTGAAATACTTTGAAAACTTCTAGACTAGACTTTGAAGGTGACACAAATTTGTGTTACAATTTGTGTGCTCAGTTGTATCCAGTGGATGAGAGTGGAGCTTATTTACTATAGTAAATCCTGAAATATTTAGCTGTAGAACAAATGAAGCCTTGCATTAACAAAGTTAATTACACTACCTAAGGCCATTATTAGGGATTTGCTCCCTTGCATGTTGTCTTGAGGCAAGGCTGCTTTTTTTTCCCCCCTTTATTACTTAGGCACCACTTTTCATGTTTTTTTGTTTTGTGTTATATTAAAAAAAGAAGAAAAAAGGCACGTGAAAAAAGCCTGAGTTTATTTTCCTTTTCTGGTCTGCTTTTTTTGTTGAGTTTCCTGTTTAAATATTAGCAACAACCTGCCTTATGCAGGGTATGAGGCTTAGTTACTGCATTTGTAAATAGATGATAAAGGTGATACCTTTTCAATAGCAGTGATCAAAACTACTGCTGTTAATAAATTGGAAAAATCAAGGACAACAGGATATCCTGTTGTTGCTTTTTAAATTAAATATATCCGCACAACATTTGAAAAGATTAATTGTTAAAAGGTAGAATCTCATCTGTCTACTAAGCACTAACTTTTCTAACAAATACTAGGTTTTCTGTTTTGAATCTAACATTTTTTGTATATCCTAATTTTCCTTAACAATCTTTGTGCGCTTCTTTCCATGAATGGCTTTTGGTGGTTGAATAAATACATGGAGCCCTCTTGTTACTAACTGTAGTGAACTACAGCTTGAAGCTCAGAAGTCTGTGGAGAATAACAAGATCTGTTGCAATACAATATTTTGTGTATGGTTACCATTCAAACTAATTGGCAGTGCAGGCAAAAATGACGTGTGGTACAAGTGGGGTGTTGGAGATAATTGAGGAATTACGCTGTGGTAAACACAGGTTTGCATTTTAAGCCTGAACAAAACAAAAAGTGTAAAATTCACTGCAGGATGGAATTATTTTTTACGTTCCCTTCATTTTTGTCAGTTCAAAACCAGTGATGATTAGTTAGCTTTTATTTTGTGCATCCCCAGAATATCTAGAAAGGTATGGTTATATCTGGTCCTTTTTTTGTTATATTCAGTGGTCTGATAAAACACCATTGTTAGAGATCTGAGACACTCCTAATTATTTCCCAAATATGAAAGATCTTTTCATTCTCTGCATTGTATCCTATCTGAACAGGGGATAGGGAAGGATACAGTTCAGAGTTTTTAAGCATTACATTATCTTTTGGATTTTAAAGGATGCCTTCATTAAATCTTTTATTTTATATTTTCATTCCAAGCTGAGGCTTAAGTTAAGATCCTACTTAAAAGGTTATCTTGGATTTTTTTAGTTTTTATTTGCAATCTTTTTATTTCAGGATCTAAAATTTTAAGAAATGCCCAATATAGATATTAAACCTGCATGGGATAGCAACACTAGTATTTTTAGTGCCTTAATAAGTTATTTCTTAGTTCTACCCTCAAAAATATTTTGGGAGTAGTTTACATGGTTCAAGTATTTTTGTTATACAAACTATCTGAATTTGTGTTATCAGCTATTTAAAATTGTAGCTTGCTGCTAAAATACATAAGGAAATGTTCTTTGAAATGAAAATGGTTTTTTGTGATAGCTTAACTAATGTTGTCATAACATGAATGTGTTTGTTTAGGACTCAAATTATTTGAACCTTGCTTTCTTTTCTGTTTTGTCTCTGCTTTCCCTTTTTTCCTTCTCACGAAATACTTGCCAAAACTGACTGCAGCATTACTCTCGTGAATTCTTTTATTCAGTCTCTCTGTAGACTGTATGTTTGCACATTTCAGTCCAATAAGCACTGTAAAATCAGTTACATATTCTCTGGATGTCTCTTCATTTGAATAGGCGCTGGTTCTCAATACAAAATAACCAACTTGTGTACCAGAAGAAATTTAAGGTAGGAATCGAAAACTGGCTTGGGATAGTTTGGGGTTTGGGTGATGGTTTTGCCGATAGATTGGGAAAACAGTGCTGACTTTGGCATCCTGCATGATCTTCAACAACCCACTGCTTTTTCTAAATTGGTTTCTCCCTTTGTAAAATGAGACTAATGGCTACACCGACAGATTCTGAGATTCCTGTGCAGTGACTTGTAAGCACATACTTTATTTGCTGTGGGGTTTGTAACCTAGTTAAAGCTTTAAAAGTTGTTGGTCCCAAAAGGCTTGTGCACACTTGCTGGCAGTCAAATATTCCGTGCTGTTCTCTGAGCAGTTGTGTTTAACTCTTTCAGGACTTGCTCCCTCCAGTTACTTACTGGTTCACATACCCAATTTAGCAGCTGGGGAGAGAGGGGGAAAAGAGGCATGAAAGATTTATTATGAAGCAGTCAGGGCTGCTTTGTACATGTATTGACTGACGAAAATGCACAGGGGTTCAGCAGTCAATATCTGCCTTTCTGCTGGTGGGAAGGGGCAGTAGCTGTATATTACAGAAGCAAGTCCAGCTCTGCCCCAAGCTGTAGAAGCCTTTTCAGTCAGCTTTTGGGCCCCTGCTCCTTTGTCTGCTGTTCTAGAATCTGCTTTTGTACCACGTAGCTGTAACTGTTCTTCAGGTTGGAAAAAACTAGAAAACTGTATGGAGACAGTGGGGAAAAAAGAGGAAAGAGCTTATGACAAGTCCTTCCTCTTTACTGCAAACAGACTGGGTTCAGAGCTGTTCCGTGTTTTCTGATGCTGTCAAACCAAGGGGCTTCATTTTTGTGGTTGGAAAGGAAGGAAACAGTTGTGTGTGTGTGAGCACATTTGGTTGGGTTGGGCATTTTCTGTTTGTAAATTCCCATTACCTTTTTTTTTTTTAACTGCACCCTTAAAATGATGATAGCTTAGAATAGGATTCTTATGAATTGAATCAGCTTTCAGCTTCTGGGGTTTTTTTATTTGGCATTTACAGTACTGCTGATAATTTTTCAGATTTTCTTGTGAGTTAATAGCATCTCTTAGAAAGTATCTTTGTACTCCTTTGAATACCGTTGTTTAAATACTGTTGTTTAAATTGAGGGTGTTTAATACTTAGTGAATTGCATTGTAGGCAAAAAGAAATTCTCTCAAGTCTGTATTAAATTTTCATTAAATGTAACTAAACATTAAAATTTATCTAAATATATCCTGCTAGGTATCACCAGATCCACCTGTTTCCAATTTTATTTTTAGGGGAAAAATTTGTGTAAACAGGCAAATAGAATTGAATTATGCATATTTTGGGATTACTAGCAACGATATTATTTTTCCTCTCTGACATTTTTGTTAATTTTTTGTTTCTTAGGATAATCCCACAGTAGTTGTTGAAGACTTGCGGCTCTGCACAGTTAAACACTGTGAAGACATAGAAAGACGTTTCTGTTTTGAGGTGGTTTCTCCAACAAAGTAAGGAGAAGTGATATAGTATGTTTATTTAAAAATAATAATAATTAAAAAAATCATTACATCCAGTTGTCTTAAAATGCAAGACTAACATTTCTCTTGGGATAGATCAAAACAGGAAAACTATCTGAACAATTTTGTTCTCTGAAATTTTGACTAAGAGTAAGTGATGCTGTGAGAAGTGTTCCTGGTATTTAGTTTACTTTTGGCATTAAAATAAACATACATTCTTGTGCTTTTTGCATAAATAGCTTCTGGTGCAGAGCTGTTGCAGCTCAGTAGTAGCTGATACTATCAGCTGCTTAATAAGGTAGAAAATAGGTCTCAATTTCTCCACATTTCTGATTGGTGTAATGAGAGAGAAGCACATTAGTAAGTTCTCTTGGTAATGTTAAATTATATTTCAGAATGCACTAAATGAAACTGCCAAATAAAATTGTTTTTCAGCTCCAACAGTACAGTGCATTGGCTGTATTTGGGGAAGTTTGGCATCCTGCCACAGCAAGGGCAGGACATGGATTCCTCATTAGTGGTTTTGAGATGTGACCATATTTAAGTTTTTGATACGAGGTCAACCTGCTTTTAGGTTTGGATGTCATGTGCACTCCCCACTCCTTACATTTCTCTTCTGAATAGATTTCTGTCCATCCTGATGTTTGCATTCCCAGTTGTGGTTCACTATAGCTTGCATTTTGCTCTTCCTTGTCTGTGCTTTTTCGAGTGTTGGAACAGTTTTATACTTCATGACCTGTTTCCTTTGACTGTTGGTGTGAAAAGTAGTTCATTCTTTGTCAGAGAGCTTTAAATTATTCTCTCTTGATCTCAGTGAATGAAAGTGTGTTTCTAAGGACTGTACTTATATCTTGTGTAACTAGTCAGGGGGGTAAAATGCATATGAGGATATGAAAATGAAAAATTTGGAATAAAAAAAGGAATAGGAAGCTAAGACATTCTCTAGGTTATTTGAAGAGTCATATCTGTGTATTTTAGCATTACCTGCAAATAATTTTGAAGTACAGAGTTTACAACTCACAAAGGCTCAGCCGCTTTGTCATCTCAAAATAAATGGGTATATTAAATGGTGCCTGCTAAACAGTATACTTGTGGGAGTAGCAAGAAAGTTCCTCAGGAGTTTTTAGTGTTGGATGTCAGCTGCTTGGCCACTCTCTCTTACTCTGAGCACTCGTGGTTTGTCACAGGAGCTGCATGCTTCAGGCGGACTCGGAAAAGCTGCGGCAGGCCTGGATTAAGGCTGTTCAGACCAGTATTGCCACAGCATACAGAGAGAAAGGAGATGAATCTGAGGTGAGTTTAAAAATCAACCAAATGACAACCCCCCTTTAGACACTGAAAACTTAAAATAGATAAAACCTCTTTTAATGAGAGGGAAGGAAAAAAAAGAATCCATTATTTGTCTTCCACTGGAAATGCAATGAAATTATGTGTAATCTGTCCTTCATTTCATCTTATTAATGTTATTTTGGCCTATATATTTTTATGAGATTTTTCTGTAGTGTGATTAAAATTCATAGGATACTCCTATATTCAGTTCTGTATTTCTTCCAAAAAGCTAAATATTTTTTCAGTTCTATGGATTTCCTTGGCCTTTAATGCAGTAGTGACTTTTCTTGGATTCTAGTGCACAGTCAGTATCTGTGGGACTTCTGTTACTTTAATTTAGTATGTCTCTTTTTATTGGTTTGTTTGGGTTTTTTTTTTCTTTTAGAAACAGGAAAAGAAATCATCCCCTTCCACTGGAAGCCTAGAATCTGGGAGTGAGTCAAAAGAGAAGTTGTTAAAGGGAGAGAGTGCTCTGCAGCGAGTTCAGTGTATTCCTGGTAATGCTGCCTGCTGTGACTGTGGTTTGGCAGATCCTCGCTGGGCCAGTATCAACCTCGGAATCACACTGTGCATCGAGTGCTCTGGGATACACAGGTTGGGGAACTCTTCAGAACTGTGTTTGATTTGTGCATTGACTTAATTAGGAAGGGTGGTGTTTGCCTCTTCAAATGTAAGTGGAAGCAAAATTAGGGACCCCTGTTTGTAAACACAATATAGGTAACTGCTTTCTCTGCATAAATTAATGTTCAATCTGTCTAAGATATAGCATAGTAGTTACAGGTTAATTTTTTTTTCATGCTGTTTAGGAGCTTGGGAGTCCATTTTTCAAAAGTAAGATCTTTAACGTTGGATTCATGGGAACCTGAACTCCTAAAGGTATGATAGTATTTTTGAAAGAGTTTTCTGTTTGGTACTTATATTGTTGTTCTAAAGCCTCTATATCAGAAAATTCAGTGCAGGAAACACTGGAATTTGTACCCAGTAGATGTCCTACACTTCTGAGTAGAAAATGTTTATAGTTGTGTGTTGTTTTATTTTAATTCACAGTTTTTATAATCCCCGCTGTAGCAGGAGTCATTTGTGTTACAAACTTGCAAGTCAGAAAAATTTACACCACCTTCAGGTTCGCAAGTGCACTCTGAGTACCAAGTTTTATCTGATATTTTCAACATCTAAAAAAGGCAAATCTATTTACAGACCAATAGTGTCTTGTAGCAAGCTGAAATGTTTTGCAAGTGGTGTATCAGCCTAAAGCATAATCGTACTTGAAAATTTGAATGCCAGCTCTTAACAGTGAGATCCTACTGGCTTATGGGATATCACTCATGCAACTGCTTGTGTGCTATTTGTATGCCAGACTTCCAGCTTGAAAGATGGCTATGAAAGTCATGTGAGTCTGCAATACTGACATAGGAACTCGTGCACGGGTGCATGTGTGCAGCTGGATAACTGATGCAAAGCGTTTGTTTCTAGCTGTGATGTTCTGGCACCTGGGTATTGCTTCTCTGTTCTGAACTATCAAAAGACAGTGTGAGTAGTGGTGTTTCATTTGTGGTTTGACATTAAGTTATTTTAATATCAGTGTGTTCATGCTAAGAAAACAAACAAACAACCCACCCCCCAAAAAAAAAAACCTTGGACCCCTTGTACTATTTATGTAAATACCAGAGCAAAGTATTTTACCTGGTATTAGAAGCAAGAAGTCTGCTCATTGCCATCAATAGGGCCAAATTCTCCTTTCAGTGCTATCTGCAGGCTGGGTTTTGTATTTGTTCTTTTTCTATAGTCGTATCAGATTATGGTTTAGCAAAACTGTCCATTGGATAGGATGGAGTAGAATTCATTAAATTGTCGGTTGTTGATGGGGTAAGAACAGCTCCTGGCAAAGCTGGTGGGAAAGAGCACCTTTGTTAATGAGACCTGCAGGTGTCATTCTGGTGGTTGTTTCAGCAATCCTCTTTCAGTAGGGAATGGCAATTTATTAGAGTGGACTGTGTTTTTTGCTCTCTTACTCAGGATTTGGTGTCTCTGTTAATTGACTGTTTCATTATCATGATGCAAACCCATGCTTATTTCTGTAAGTGTACTTTTACCAGGGAAAAATATTGTAAAAATAGGCTGAGTGAGGTTAAAAACAACTAAATAGGTAGATAAAACCTATTACAACTATATTTGAATTTATTTATTTTGCTTTATAGCTTATGTGTGAATTGGGAAATGATGTTATAAATAGAATATATGAAGCGAAGTTGGAAAAAGTGGGAATAAAGAAGCCTCAATCTGGAAGCCAAAGGTAGTATTTTACTAGCAGTGCCTGTTACTTCCTTTTCTTGTTGCTTCCTTCAGCCTCTGGCTTTAAAACATGCTGCCAGTTAACTGTGTAACACTCCTTTGGTGTACTCTTTGTTTACCTGTATCACCAGGATGTTTTACTCTCTCCCTTTTCTCACTCTGTCTTTATTGGGTATTCCCTCTGTTGGTCCCTTTCTGCTTCTCCTGTTCACTTGTTCTTTTTCTGATCTCACTCCCTCCTTTTGATGACAGCTCTGTAGCATCAAAGCGGGCATGTGGATTTTGTTTCCTCTCTTCTTGGTACCAGCTCAGCCAGCCAGTACTCCTGAGTGCTCCTGGAAGGAGCCTCTGGCTGTGCCTTTGTTTACAGTGACTTTGTTCTTGAGTTTGACTTTTGTTCCCTGATCCCCCAGAATGTTCTCTTTTTCCTGCCTACATTGTACATGAGCTCTGCTGCTTTACAGCAACCTTCTAATCATTGTGCTGCTGTCTTCAATTCCTCTGATGTCAATTTGTGTTTGAAGGTAGTTTTCTGATATTTTGTGCTGCTGTATAGGGTGTCTCTTAAAACTTGTTTTTTTACTACCTTTCTGGTTCTGTACTGCTTGCTGCCAGGTAGTTTTATGGTATAGAAAACAGCATTTTATGGAGTGTTGGCAATTTGGAGACAGTGATATTAGTATAAATAATGTAGGAGATTTGCTAGCTATTCCTTCTAGTGGTAACTGCTTTCAGCAGTTTCAATGGTAATAATTATAGCCCCTTTCGTCATGGCTGAATTTGCTTTGTGTTTTAAGCTGATAACCTCAGGTTACAAGAAAAAATACTTTGGTATGTGATATGGAATTGGGGGCTGTGCCTACCTAAGACTTATGTTTTCTTGTATAATCTTGATATTCCCTTAACAAATGTTGCAATTTATATTTACATAAGAAGCTAAATGTATGCTCTATTAATTGGTTATTAACAATGTAAAACATGTATAAAGGTTTAATACCGAGAAGTAACATACAGTAACTAATGCTTATTTCTTCCACATACCACTTTCTAAAGTGTCTGCCTGAAGGAAAATACACTTGCATAAACTTAACAAAATTACTTTCTTTTGAGCCTTATGGAAAGTTAATCAAGAATCCAGAAAAAGTTAGACAGTGTGCTTTGCATATTTCTGAAAATGTGCTATAGGTCTGTCTTATGTGTAATGCCAAACTACAGTCTTGGTTACTGACTTTAGTATGAAATAGGCATTCTTTTAATACATGAAAATACTAAAATATTAGCTTACTAACTCTGGGGATTTTGTACGTGACAGGCAGGAGAAGGAGGCATACATCAGAGCAAAATATGTGGAGAGAAAGTTTGTAGAGAAGCAAACTGCGTCAGTACCTCTGCTTGAATCTGGAACAAAAGTTTTGCCTCCAAGTCAGGAAGAGAAAAGGCACAGTGGCCCTGAAAAATCCCTTTTGGCAGGGGAACAAGGTGCAGCATCCCAAAAAGGTATTTACACACTTATCTTCTTAGCTGTGTTACCCATTGTTCTTCGTAAAGTAATATATTTTTATATCCATTGATTTCTGCCTCATGCAGAAAAATCAGAATCTCCTTTTTTAATGGGTCTTAGCCTAGTGCAGAAGTATAGGGGAGAAAAGACTTGTTCAGAGATGTGCATTTTTACATGGGGAAGAACCTGGAATGGGGATGCTTATCATTCAGAGACATATTAACCACCTTCTTCCCTCCGTATTTTCGCCCTTAATTTCTCCAATAACGTTCTCTCCTGCCCTGTCCCTTCCTTACTGCCTGCTTTGTGCTTTGCTAACTTGCATGTCCCAGCGGTTGCTGTAAGTAGCGACGAGGCGAGACGGGAGTCTCTGTTCTGTCCTGATGAACTAGATTCACTCTTCTCCTACTTTGATACCTCTTCAAAACTACGTAGTAGTAAGTACTACAGCTGTGGCGTGTTCAGTATTTGCACTAGTGATCCATCATGTGTTGTGGCCATCTCCCTGCTTTAATCTATTGTCTCCAGGCTACTGCATTGCTTAGTGTCTTCATGAAATAATTTAAGCTTTTTTACTTATCCTGATTTTTTTTTCCTTTCTAGTAATCTTTGACATTTATTATTATTATTATAAACATTATGATTGCAAAACATGACTCCATATTTTTCTATGGATGCATTAAGGACACTGAATAATTACTAGCCATTTTTAAAAGTTGTGTTCAGGACCAAGTATAAGAGCTTGCTTTATTATCATGGTATCTGTGAAGAGCAGATAATTTAGGCTCTGCATAGTAATTGCAATTTCTCCCCAAAACAGTCCGAAGCAGTGACAGTGGGATCCAGCCAAGCACTGAGGACAGCAGAGAACACCTTTCCTCTACTGTATCAGCTAACAGTTTGTATGAACCAGGTGTGTTAGGCTTTGCATTCTAAGATGAAAATTTAAATGCTACCACTTGGTAGCATTTTTTGTTAAAGAGATTAGTGCTTGGTGATACAATTTGTCTCTGCTATCCTGGTGGGTTGAAATGCTTTTAACAAGTGTAAAAATTGCTTGAGTAATCTTTCCTCCAGGCTTGCTACCAAGAATGGCATTAAATCCTTCTAAATGTGTTCAAAGAACTATGTTTTTTCCAGTCATATGAGACTGATCCAAGACTTTGGGTTTTTTTGCAGATAGAGCAATGCTGCATTTTGAGGCAGACAAGTCTCCACAGAAATGCATAATCCTGTTATAAATAGATAAGTCCTTGGAGGCAGAATTCCTGTTGAGTCACAGATAATGGGCTTTTATGTGTTGTTTGAGTGTTCTTGCTTAATTTTTCTGTTTTCTACTTATGTGGAATTGACCATGTCCTTAAACATTACCCTCTCAACTCAGAAGTTCTATAAATTTATGGATGAAATTATTTGCTATCTAATATTAGTATGCTGTTCTGACAGATGTATTGAGTATCACTTGTCAGAATATCCAAAACATTTGTTTATAAAGCAAAGTTAGTCTTCTACATCAAAGCACTCTTCTGAGGTATGTTGTAAATCCAGTAGTTCACAGCTGTGGTTGTAGGCAGGCAGCACGTGGCTTGGATCCTTTTTGACTGTGTTATAAAAACATTTCTGGTGCTGTAGCTCGTGAAAGCTTTTATGTAACAACGTTTTTTATCTCCCAGACTTCACTCTGTATAACTGTTATTGAGGTGAAGAGAAAGATTATGCTTTACTCCCAAGATTATAGCCACAGCAAGTAATTGGTAAATGACAATGGTATCTTTTAATGAAAACTAGGTCAAAACAGTATTAGTCTCAAATTCAGGTGTATCAAGCTGTTGCAGATAAAGATATATTTGTATGACTACATCTCTACAGGAGATTAGTTTTATTCATATCTTGTAGTTTAGAAAAAAACACACTTCAAACCTAAAATAATTTCTTAGAAATGACATGGAATATCTAGATTGAAGGATATACACATGTGCTAGTAATGTGGAGAGAATGATTTCTGTGCAGTAATAGTTCTGTGAAGAGGCTGTGCCTGAATGCTGGAACAGGCTAAGGGCATCTATGATTTCCCCTGGCAGAATGGGGCAAGAATACACAGCATTCTGCAAAACCTGAACTTCCTTATGCCAGAGTGATGGGTTTGACCAGAATTCCAGAAGTTACCTTGTAAAAACAGAGATTAGATAAGCAATTTTTTTTTTCTTTTCAGAAGGAGACAAGCAAGAGTCTTCTGTGTTCTGTGACTCCAAGCAGCCTAGTCCAGGATTGCAGTTGTACCGAGCTGCCTTTGAGAAGAATCTTCCTCATATGGCAGAAGCATTGGCCCATGGAGCTGAAGTAAACTGGGTCAACGTAGAAGAAAACAAAGCAACTCCACTCATTCAGGCAGTGCGAGGGGTATGTGATATACAGCCCTGGCTGGTGGGGGAGGAGGGCAAGGGATAATGGGGATGTTTCTGTGTCACTGTTCCTTTTGAACTGCTTCACTAATGGATGATAACATGATGCTGAAGTTGTGTTTACAGTGTTCTTTCTGAACTATTTTTTTCCTGTTAATGCTTTGTTTGGAATTATATAACCTTAGTAGTGTTCAAAGTTGATATGGAAGCAAATCCCTTTTGTTTCCTTTGCCACATGGCTAAATGGTGAGAAGGCAGAACAGATTTGGCTCTTATTCTAGAGATCTGGTGCTGAGTTGTTTCCTTGCTTTTATTCCATAGGGTTCATTGGTTACTTGTGAATTTTTGCTGCAGAATGGGGCCAATGTGAACATCAGGGACATGAAGGGAAGAGGGCCCCTGCACCATGCCACAGTTCTAGGACACACTGGGTAACTTGCTGCTCCTCAATTTGTAAACGGCCGTCCTTTACTGTAGTTGTTCATGTGAAGCTTCTTCATTGCCCTAGATATTCTGGCATTTTAATACTATTTCTGGTGATACAGGTTTTTTTTAAACTCTGGCTGTGAGAAAGAAAATAATATTTTGATTTAGCAGTCTTATCCACTAGCAAAACACACATGTGTTTGCTAATGTGGATTAAATAAAGGTTTTGCTTACTACTGTGGTAACATGTTCTAGATGAACAGTACTATTTTGACATATTTGAGAGACTTTTTGTGATTTAAGCCAAATACATTGTATCCAGCCTGAATTTATTTGCCTTTTTTCCTTTATTATTGTCAAAAATATTCTTAAATGCTTTTTCTAAACAGACAAGTGTGTTTATTCCTAAAACGAGGAGCAAACCAGCATGCCACTGATGAAGATGGGAAAGACCCACTGAGTATAGCAGTAGAAGCTGCAAATGCGGATATTGTAACATTGTAAGTTGTACGTTCTGGTTTTTGACTAGATAACTTAAGTTTTGCTATTCTGTTTCAAGTTAAAAATAAAAGAAATGTCAAAATTCCTTTACATAAAAACAGGGAGAATGAGCTAAAATCAGAATTCATTATCCATAGATGACCTCTTTGATGTGATGTTCAGGAATGCATTGTAGGTCTTGCATTGTAGTCTTTTTTTGTGCTTTGAAGATGACATTGTTCTTTTTGTTTTCTAAATCACAGGTTGCGTTTAGCAAGGATGAATGAAGAAATGCGGGAATCAGAAGGACTCTATGGGCAGCCAGGTCAATACTCTACTAATAACCACACTGAAATGCAGTACAGGAAGTGTATACAGGAATTTATCAGTTTACAATTAGATTCTTAGTGTCTGAGGGAAATCCAAGATAGCTTCATACATTTGATGTTTTTTTTATAAACCAACACATGTTAAAACTTCATTGAAATTCACTGGCGTGACTTTGTAAGAGTATTTAGAGGAACTAAAAGGAGAGTTTAAATAGCATCATTATAGTAGTGTGTTACTACAGCCATTACCACTCTGTTTTGCTGGTAGTTGTCCACAGTTTTCTTCCAATTGTTGTTCCTTTGAAATTTGTATAATGTTAGGATATATCTGACATTATTTGACAGTGGCTTTCTGACCCATCTTGCTCAGAGGAGTTGAGGAGTTCATCTTATTACAGGATACCATTCTCCTTCCTGTGGAATGGTCCTCTTTTTCTTTTTGTAAGAAAAAAATGCTTGCACACCAATGTAAAAAGTGTACATCAAATATTTCAAAATAACTGCAGACAGAAATAGGAAACTATCATTTCCTCAAATTTTATTTTTAAATATTTTTATTTGTTAAGATACTAATAAGAAACAAAGCGGTCATTCTTGAGTATGTATTTTTGTAGCATAGTGTCTTTCTGTTTGGTTAAAAATCTGGCAGACGTTTGAGCCAACTGCAACAGGAAAGTATCAAATTATACTTAATGAATATGTGCAACTTTATTCTCAGGCACTCAGTCCCAATTTACACCATGTCCTAATGTGATATTTGTGCAAGCCATTGCCTCTGTTATGGTATGCTTCCACAGGAACCTAATTTAATGTCATGCAAATACCAGTAATGAAGGCACACTTGATTGTAAAGTTAGAAAATTAAAGCACCTCGCTATACCTGGCAGAAGTGAAAGGCAAACCTTACTTTTAAGGTTAAGTGCTGAGTACTCTTGGCTCACTCCTATAAAGCCCTTCTGTATTTTCCACTGATTCAAAAGGATTGTGTGCTTATATTTCTTACCAGATTAAGACTGGAATATAGTCAAGGGGCAACACTGAGTCTAATGTCAAAATCCTAGATGACATCTATTAAATAGACCAATTTTATTTGGTTTCTCCTTAAGAATAGGGTTTTTTTAAAATCTATTTTTGAACAAATCTTCAATGAAATTCAAATTAAACAATAAAAGTACTATAGACACTCAGGAATTCAAATGCTTTCCTTGACAGTGAAACAGTTAATTTACAAGTATTTTTCTGATTATGAGTTCAAAAGAGGAAGAATTCCCCTCTCAGAAAATGAGGAAGGCTGTTGCCAGTGTGGCCAATTTCAATTTAAAGATGTTTTCTGATACAATGCATACTACTTCACTGACAGGCTAAAGGTAGCAAATGCTGAAGTATTTCTGAGTTTCCTCTGTTTTGTTTTAAGTGGTAAAAATAATAACTATCAGTTTCAAATAGTAAAATGGCTTTGTTTTAAGGGAGGTGTGTATTTTGGCTCAAAAGCTCTGTGCTAAATCATAAGTGAATATTTTAGATCATTTCATTGACCTATCACAAATCCAAAATTATAAACCAGAAAATATGTTTCCATGGTTTGTACAAAAATCCTTGGTTGTTTACTAAACCTTACAAATGTTTATGAATGCTTCATTCCTAACAAATACAGGCACTGCCTACATGAAAACGTGAAGTAGATGGGGGAGACTATTTTCCCCTGAAAATTCATTTATATATATATATATATTTTTTAGACACATTCTTCAATTAGGTAGGTGAAATAAAAAGCTAGAAAAATATTTCATTGAAAATATTGTGACCTTTCTATCACTCTGTATTACAGTAGAATCTAGAGACTGCAGTTGATACAATCTCATCCAGATACTTTGCAACTGGTAAGGTGAGATTGACAATGGTGAATTGCCACAGGAGGCAGAGCTTCCCCAAAATCAGGGGAAGGTATCAGTAAAATAATTTTTGACATTAAGGCCAGAAGCTGTAGCACAGAGTCCCAGCCAGGAGATCTTGCTGTATCTTTGGGTAGCACAGCACTGCCCCCTTCTATTCTTTACTTGCTGAAGCCTCTTTTAAAAGTTTAAAAGTCAATATTTGAGTGTTTTGAATGTTCATGTCTGCTGAAAGGGTTGTGTCAGAGTAAGCACAAAACCTGTCTCTGCTGTCACAAGCTATCACACCTTTTCGTGGTTGTAGGAGATGCAGGTCTTTTTCACTGCATATACAAGTTAAATTATTTGCACTGCCCTTTTTTTAGAGCTCCAGTGTTCCAAAATTATGATTCTAGAAGAAAATAAGGATTTTCAAGACAATTGTATTTTTGCTGGGAGCTATGTGAGGGTAAATATTGATGTATGAGTTTGCTATCATCAGAGTGAAGCCAACTACCAACTCCTCAGCTCTAGTAATGCAGTTGATGAACAATTGCTAATGTAGCTAATGGCATCAACATTTCTAATGTAAATCTATCTGGCTGGTTTGAGCTACTGAGAGAATGTATATATTGCTTTGCAAGGTACAGTTGGTCTTCCAAAATATTCCTAGAATGGGAACTAGCTGAAAGCAGCTTGTTCCACAAAAGGTTCATTTCTGGTGGTAGAAGCCATATGCACCATAGTACTGTTTCTTGTATAACACTTGAGTGCTCATCTCCTGGTGCTACAGTATGTCTGCCAACTCTTTGGTACTAGCATTGCTACTTTTTCTTCCTACCTTTTCTTGAATGTATGATGTGTGCCTTTTGAGTTACTCTGGTGTTAAATGGTAAAGCAGTGTTACAGTATTTTTGTACATAATATCTGCACTTTAGGGAAAACATTGCTTGGAATTTCCAGAATTCAGTTTTAAAGTAGAATTTTAAAATAATTATAATGTTTACAGTATTAAGTACTTTAATGCAGCATACAAACTAAAGGGGCACTTTATTTTAGTCTATTTTTGTATGTAATATTTTTGTTATGTAATAGAGCCAAAAACAGAGCCACAATGTATCTTGCAAAAATAGCTTTCTGTTTTTCTTTCAAGTTAATTTGAAAGAAACAAGTATGGCAACTTGAACTACAGTATTAGTTCAGCAGTGAAACCCACTTCTGTATTAAAAGCATAATTGCTTTTATCACACAAGCTTGATTCTGCCTTGTGCCCTTCATAGCTGTTCTTTTGGTGAATGTTGCAGCTCCATTCTGTGCTGATCTCCCAGTGCAGGCAGTTATCACAAACTGTTACAATAAAATGTGTCCTGTGCCTGCTTCATCCCTATAACACAGAATCTCAGAATGGTTTGGGACCTTAAAGATCATCTAGTTCCAACCCCTCTGCCATGGGCAGGGACACCATACTTGAAATTAAATCTGAAAACCAAAAGGGAATTTCCCTAGAACTGACTTTTCCTAGTAGAGCAGTATTGAATGTATTCATCTTTCAAAGTCTGGGAAGAGTTATGTCACTGCATCTTTGTATAATCCCACATGCCATGCACATTAAATATTTCTGGAAGGTCAGTTATCATTTGTAAAAGTGTTTTCAAAAGAATGGAGTCTCTTCTCCAAAAGAATAATAGTTCTAACATTGGAAATAGAAATTAAGATATGGAAAAACAAAACAATGTAACTGTTCACAGTAGTGCAAATGTCTAAGCACAAAAACATTCTTTTTTTCCACAATCATGTTGGGAAAAAAAGCTTCATGTTCAACATACATGATGAGAGGGATTTTGGGTTGATTTCTTTGTCATGCTATTAATTAAGCTGTCAGCAAGAAACAGTAGTGCTGGGATCTTGTGCACTGTGTGATCATCTGTGTGGGGAAGACAGTAAAATTTGGATGGCTGCATAACTCCAGACCAAATGAAATGTGTGATGCATTTAATTCCCTTTGAAGGCAATAGGGTATGGTTAATGTTTTAAAATGAAACCTGAACTCAAGGCCCAAAATGCTGCAACAGATGAAGGAATGTGAAAATGTCCATTTTAAAGTGGCAAAAGAATAACTTGGCAATGACTCAAGAAGTAATCATTCCTGAATATGTCTTCCTGTGTGGAGGGGGAGGAACACAGGCCTGGTGGAAATTGCTGCCATCCCTCATTTTGGAATATATACTATTGGGTTGTGTTTAAGCACAAAGAGTGAACATTAAAAAAAAAAACAAAACCAAAAAAACAAAAGAAATATTTTTAAGGGAAATATCATCACTCTTATAGATAAAACTGAAAAATGTAATGAAAGAGGTAGATGAAGTGAATGTAAAAATTTATATCTGCTGAAGTAGTAGACCAAAAGAATTTATGACCCATGATTTATCTACTTAGGATTGCTTTTTTTTTTTTAATATATACTATTGCTTGCTGCTTGTTTCTTTCATGGAAAGTTCTGTTTGGCTGTAAGAATTCTGACCTCTGTTTCCAAGTTAATCTTTATTTATGCCATAATTCTATTTTTCTGAAGATGATCTTGGTTAGCACTACCTTGCAAAAACAAGGATTTTATTCTTTAATGGCTAATAAATATTTTTCTTTTTAAGTTGCTTTAAAATGCTTTCACTTTTCCTTTCTAACTCTAAACTTTCCTCTGTGTGGCTGCCTGTGAGGTACTATTTCAGGTATAGTTTGGCTTTGTTTAATTTGCTTCTACAGAACATGCATGCAAGTAACCAGTCTCCAACAGTTCACATCAGTGTCATTCCATCTATAAGCAAACTTTTTACATGAATAAGTGTTACACAGTAGTTGATTGCACAGTAGAGCATTTGTGCAGTGGTGGGTGATGTTGACTATCACAAATGTTTAATACTGTTTCCTTTTTCTTTTCTATCTAGGAGATGAACTTTATCAGGACATTTTTCGTGACTTTTCTCAAATGGCAACAAATAATCCAGAGAAGTTAAACCGCTTCCAGCAGTCAGATTCCCAGAAGTCTTAAGTGTCAAGAAGGAAAAGAACCTGATGCTTATAGTACAAGTCTTTTTTTACTTTGACAGAATGAATTATATGCATTTTGTTAGATAGATCGGATAAAATGACCACTCCAATGTAGCTTTAGATTGTGGTAGCTGGGGAAATGTATGAGTTGTTTTATGTTCTACAGTACGTATACCTCAGCAGCTGAAATAATGTTTAAAACCCTGAATACCTGCTAGCTCAGTATAAAAACAGCACCAGTTGTGAGTCCGAGGTTTGTCTGCAGCTCGTACGCCGAGCACAGCTGGGTGTGTGTCACGGACTCCCAGTGGCAGGATGGTCAGAGCAGCTCTGCTATCCAGGATCATCCACTGTCATCTGTCTCCCTGCTGCTGTAAAGAATGTGCCTCTGACAAGAAGGTCTGGGTTGCATTTTCTGGGACTGTTTGGAATGGAAATACTGAGTTGTCCTTCTGTTTGTGGAGCTGTAACTTAACAGATCCTCTTGTGCCTGTGCTGACTCTGGTTAGAGGTAGGCTGTTAGTAACAGATACGGTAACTCCTGCTCTTGCAAGCTCTTTCACAGTGGAAGCTCTAACACCAGGCTGGCCTTTATGCTGGTGACTGCAGGTCAGTCACAAAGGGATATATCCTGGGGGACCAAACTCTTAAGAGCACTCTATTTTCTTTTTTTTTTTCCCCTCTTAGATTAAACTTTAAATGCAGCAACTATCCTTCTAAATGAGCATGTGGAACCTTTCATAAAAAATAAACTGAATCCTTCTGGACATGATGTGGGGGTTTTTTGTAGTATTTTGACATCAAAACTTGAAATTTGAAAAGTGAAAATAAATACTGAGCCAATGGAGCTTGTGTAGAACAGTCATGCACAGGCTGTTTTTTACTTTTTCTTTTTCTTGTTCTCACTGCTAGCCCTAAGCTGAATATATGAAGTCTCATATGTCATGCAGCCACCCTAAATTTAGGACAATCAATCCTTTATATCAGGCAGCAGTATCCCATATATGATCTGTTATGATGTGTATGTGTTGTCTAAACTAAGGTGAGCATGAGAAAACCTAGGAATTTCATCCACATTTTTGGCAAGTATTGGGTGAGCACAGTTCCAGCTATGTTCTGAGGGCAGCAGCACAATTTGCTTTATTCAGTAGTGAGCCCCACTCTGATGGTGTGCATGTATAAATGGTGTCTCTAGATATATGCTTATATATCAGGTTATTTAATACCTAGATAGGAATCACCTGAAGCCTCAAACCAGCAGATGCAATTCTTTATGCTCTATTTGTCTGCCCTATCGACAACTTTAGCAGAAATTTTAGGTAACATAGTATCAATGTCAGTTTTTAATAATCCTAGTAGCTGTGGCATTATGCTAACCTGCTGTTTAAATGTATTTAGGAAATGAATTGGCTTTTCTCCAAGCAAAGATAAGCAAAATTGGATTAAAAAAAATTAAATCTGTAAACTATGGTAAATTTAAACTTTCTGACACATTAAATTTTAACAAAGTATTTCAAACATTTATAATTTTGCATCAAATATATAATAATGTATCAAATCTGGATATTATTATTGCCACAAAATTAGTAGTGTTGTAGAATTGTCCACTAGATTCTTTTTCCAAGCAGAAGAATCTTAGTTCTTACAGTTCTTGCTTTGTGTGTGGTCTAATTATGCTAGGAAAAGCAGACTGTGCCCATTTAAAGAGTGCATTTAGTCTGAATAATAAGAAAGTTAAAGATATCATCTGTAAGCAGTAATTTTTAGTAAGTTGTTTTTAAATAGCTGTCTATGAATGATAATATACTTCCTAATCATCAGTATTTAACAGCAGTGGGTGTTTTAGTAGATCTTAGAGAAGGTAAGATTCCCAATGTACAGATGGGACAATGTAAGATATGACTGTATAATATACACTTTAGACATAGGTTTTTCTAAATATTTGTCTTTTGCAGCCAGGTGACAGGCAGTATGTAGTGTGATTGGCTGTAATCTAAAGCTGCCTAAAGCTTGATGGCATAATTGCTGTTCAGTCCATGCTGCTGGAAAAAGGTCTGAGACACTTATTTCAAATCTCCATTGGTGATTTCCTTCCTAGCCACAAAAATCTCTCTAAAAAATTTTGCAGGATGACTTCTCTAGACAAAAACCTTGCTTCCCTGTAGCTCTGCAGATCCATACGCTGCATTCCTGACTCCCATCTGTCTGGGAAACAGTATCAGTGTGTTTGTGCTAAGAGACTAATCACATAACTGACTGACAGGCTGTGTGACTCTTGTCAGCAGTGCTGGAGTGTCAGTGGCTCAGGGAGTAGCTATGGCACTGCTCATCCTGCAGCCTCGTTCCCCATCCTTTCAGGTACGCCAGGATGTCCACTATAAACTGCAGTCAGTTAGAGCTTTTTGCAGGTCAGGTGCAATACATGTGGTAACATGTTGCTCATCAGCAAAAATGAATATATACCATTAAATTACATGGAATGTATTGATGGTGCAGTCCCACCAGGCTCTGGCAGGCTCAGTGCTCCGTGGCCTCAGTGGCTCACAGCATTCAGCCCTCAGTAATAATGTATGATTGTCACCAGGGCTCTGAAGGTCCGGATTCCATATCAAGTTTTGATTTAAGTGCTAATCTTCTGCTCAGTAATATTATGAAATTTTTATCACAAAATGAATCTGAGTACAAGCAGAATAGTAAACAGTAAAGTTCCATTGTGGGTTAACATCCTGTAGTCTGTACCAGGCAATGGAAAGCTTCAATTCCAGTTCATGTTTCCACGTAGGTATGAAATACAGTAGTCTTTAATCGGTGAGGGACAAAGCAGTAGATTCCTAATGCATTTAAAAGGCAGCTTTCACATGGATTTTTAGTAATTTACTAGACGGCCCATTGAAAGATAGTGTAATAGTTTTCCTATTTATAGACACACGTTCCAAGAGTCTCTTGGAAAGACAAATGTTGAGGAGCTCAACATATATTCTAATGCAGCTTGATTTCAGAGGTGTAACTTACATCCATTGCATGTTGGTTTAAATAGTGTCTGTGGTGTGTCCTTAGTGTCTCAATTGTTTTGACTGTTCATAAGGTTTCATGTTTTATGTTAATGTCAGTTCAGTGCATAAAAATTTATAATTCAGTATGATAATTCAGAAATTTGTCACTGAGTTAGCTGGAATTTGTTCCCATGAATTTGGGTGAAGGTAGAGGTGTTTCTTTGCCTTCACAAGCAGCCCATGTTGCAGTCTGATGAACACATGTTCCAGGTGCTCATTAACACCTAGCTGGCTTCAGACTCCTTGCCAATTAGGACCTAATCCAGGAAATCACTGGAATTAGTGGCGGTCTTTCCACTGATTTCGAGGGACTCTGGATTGTACCATTTGTGACTTCTAATTGTTAGTGTTTTAAAGGATGCTGTATTAATACTGCATTTTTCACTCCATGGGGTTTTATATTTCACCTGTTTGTATACTGAGCTGAAATAGTTTTAGAAAATGCAACCAGACCTTCCAACTGCTGTCAGCAAATCCCCGTATGAGAGGAAGTTTCTCCTGTTTTTGCAGTATGACATCAGTACATATGTGTTGTCCAGATTCTTAATTCTCCTGGATAGAGCAAAAGCTTTGTAGCACTAAAGAAAAAAAGGTGAGAACTAGAATAAGCAGAGCATTGATGTGATGTTTCCAGGACTTCAGTGCTTCTCTGTAGCCGTCTATTTTAAAGTGTGGATGTTACCTCTGCTTCTTCATCATGAGAATCTCAAAGGACATAGTGACTATGAAAGGACCCTTTGATAGAACTGCAAATCATGTGTAAGTACCAAGGACGTGATATTTTTACAGTGTCAAAAGGACTGAGCTGATCATTCTGATTCTTTAATACACAGAGTATTTTGAGAATCAGTTTTGCAGACTACGACCTCAGCCCATTTACCATGGACACTTTTTCCCAAGTTAGAGTTTATGCCACTGCTTTGTGCATCCTGACAGCCGCCGTGCCTTGCTGTTGTGCTTGCACGGAGGCACAGTTTTAAAACAGGGACAACTCTGGAAAGGCAGTACTGGGGAAAAGCATGAGTGTACCACTTTGGTATATTCCCTTTCATATGCTTGCTTTATCTTTCTGCATACGGTATTTTCTTGTTTCTCTTCCCATGGAAGGAGATGACAGAGAAGGAAAAATTCCACTCACTTTTCTGTTAGGATCCCAGATTTTCCATGTTTCGACAGAAATCGCCAAGAAATCATCATTTCCTCAAGCAGAGAGGTTACTCCGTCTGAAATAATGAACTTTTATTTCTCTACCCACGCGTTCCTCTGTACCTGGTGGTTTTTTTAAGCATTCCAGCAGTAAAATGTAAAAAAAAAAAAAACTTCCCCTTTTAAGCTGTAACTGTACAGACTGTGTACTCCGCGTTGTGTACGGCTGTAGACTTTGTATCGCAAACTTGAGCGTGGTTTGTCCTTGTAGAGGGGCGGCCTCATTAAATCTGTCACTGCCCAGCGCCTCGCTCGGGGCGGGCCGGGGGCGGATCCCGGGCGGCGCCGCCCCCGCGATGGCGGCTCAGCGGGGCCGCGCGCGGCGGGGCTGGGCGCGGGGTGCCCCGCAGCCCCGCGCGCCGCTGGCGGCGGCCGCGGCCGTGGCGCGTCTGCGCCTTTCTACTACTGGGCGGCGGCGGCGAAGACGCTTCTCCAGCGCCACCCAGCACGCCTAGCGGGCCACGCCGTCCGCGCCCGCCCGCGGCCGGGGGCCCCCGCTCGGGCTGCGCCTCCCTGCTCGAATGTTCACCAGGCGGAGCCGCGGCCACCGCCGCCTCGCGGCGACAAGGCGCAGGCGGCGCGCTGCGATCGCTGCTGCGGCACGGCCCGGCTGGGCCCCCGCGCCACGCTGCACCTCCCACCTGCGTCACCAGACGGGCCAGCCGGGGACAGCGGCCTGGGGCTGCTGGCGGGACCTGCTTTTGCGCGAGCCGCCTCCGCCACACAGGTGGCGCGGGGGCGCCGAGCGGAGGCGGGCCGGGGGGAGCGGGGCTCTGCCCGCTGCGGGGGCGCTCCGGGGGCGCGCTCGGGTGTCCCGTGTGATCTTTGTGATCTTCCTGCGGTACACTGGGAACAGCAGTCCAGCGGGAAGAAACTCCTGGTTCGGTCCTGGTTCAGCATTTCAACACAAGTACCACGTGTGCTCCTGAGTCAGTGGCGTCCTGAGCGTCCTGCGGAACCTGCAGGATCGGAAGAGGCTGTTGGCCTGTTGCTGGTGGCTCTTGAGAACGGGAATGGAGAGCCTGCAGGGGTAGGAGTGCATCCACATGAGAATGTTCGTCCTGCCTCCCAAAAACATAGCCAGTGCAGTCCATGCAAAGTCAGACTTTCCTTCGCATCAAACAGGTATCTGAAAACTGTAAGGGTGTTAAGTTCAGAGACTCCAGATAACTTGACGCCCCTGTCCTGAGGTGCTGCTGCTGAGAGGATTGCTTGGAAGTGTCCTCTAGTCCTGCTGTGACTTTTTATAACTCATCTTTCTGTTATTTAGTATTAGGTGAACTCTGCTGTGATGTAAGCAGACACGTAACCTTAATGTTCAGATATTTCCTAGTAAATAATCCCACCTCTTGTTTTGTTTAAACAAGCCCTTTCCTAGTGCTGACACTCAGGTCGTATGCCCATGGTGGGTGACCCACCCCATGCCAGCAGTGCTCAGCTCTGTGGAGGGGGTGCACAGGAGGATTCCCGTGTGCCACAGCAGGATGGACTGACTGCCCCACGATGCTGCAGTGCTGATGTGGTGCAACAGCCCAGCTCAGGTTTGTGATATTATGACCCCTGGAGTGAGAGGACCCCTGGGGCCACCATGGTGTGCATCACCCTTGTCGTTACCCCTTCTGTGTGTGGCTGCCTTATGCCATCTGCCCTTCTAGGAAATAAACTTCTCTGCGGACAGCCTTGCTGGTCTTGCTTCTCCAGGGCAACACGGGCTGGGAGTTGGAGGTGAGGGTATGCAGTGATGTGTCTGTTACGGAGGGGCCTCTGTACGTGCCTGTGGACTCGCAGGCAACCCTGGCTCATGTCTCAGTGAGTAGGTTGTGCACCAGAACTGATCTCTGGGGTGTAAGCAGGCAGCATGATCTGGAGGACTCGGGTGACATCTCACTGGGATCTACTCAGTCAGCTTCTTCCCTCTCTCCTGGCAGAGCCTGATGTATCCTGGTTTCCATTGGCCAGCCAGTGACAGAACACTTTGGATCTGTCCACTTCTCTGCTTTTAGGTGGAGTTCCCAGTACAGAGCAGAGACTGTTCCTGCTTCTAAAGCATACAGCCTTGCCCCTAATCCCTGTGCCAGTTTCTGGAATGCCAGCAGGTGACAGCACTGCTTTAATCTTGCTGTAGTCTACTTCATTCCTCCTCTTTACCAGCAGAAAAGATCTTCCTGGCTTGGACCTTTGGTGCTGCTGCTGAAATGTTGAAGGTGATTGATCCTGACACTCAGCCCCAGCAGTAAACCATCTCCATCCCTGCTTCCCCTGTTGTCTCCAGAACATTCTCCTGGTTCTTACACTGTTTTCCTAGATCACGCCCAGAGATGAGGCTTGATAATGTGCTCAGGGGACAGCTGGAACTGCTGAGGCAGGACTGATAAAACCTCTGAACTTTACTTTTATTCTTCATGAGGAAGCGATTCATGCCCTGCTTTTGGGGCTTCCCCTGCCCTCCCATTCTAGCGGAGCTGGGATCAGTTGGCTCCTCTGTTAGACTGAAGCCCAGAGTCAGACGTGGATCCCAACCCACGGGGAAGGTTCCTAACCCGTGGGGAAGGTTGTGGGCGGCTCTTGTCTCTCCCTAGGCAGATTCAGGAACTTTCAGAGTCTCCTGGAGACCGAAGCAGCCGGCAGCAGTCTGGGATCAACGTGGAGAGTGACGGCGATGGGAGCAGCTCAGGGATAGGATCCTCCCGGCAGAGCAGGGCTGTCCGGGCGTGGGCGGGCGTGACGTTGTGTCACCCATCCCGCAGGGATGTACAGATGTGTCCCAGATGTGGCGCCGGGAGCGCAGCCGTGCGGCGGCGGCAGAGGGAGCCCGAGCTCCGCGTGTGCGGCCGCGGGGCGGAGGGGAAGGGCCGGGAAGCGCCGTCCTGCCCGTGCCTCGGCCTCCCGGCCCCCGCTTGCCGAGGCTCTGTGGGTTTTTACCAGGGCTTTATGTCCGCAGTCCCAGAGAGCGCGGCCCGCCCGCGGGTCGCAGGGTGATCTCCGCAGCTTCTCCCGCTTCCCGGCCAGCGGGAAGTGCCCGGCAGTGATCCCGGGCCAGCCTCGGCGGTGGGCACTGTGCTTACAGAGAGCCCTGGCTCGCCCCGTGTTCTGCCACTCCGGCCTGTGTGCTCACACTCCTTGTGCGGTTCCTATCGCTTATTGATTCCATTTCCCTGCCAAAGTAACACGAACCGCCTGCTCGGCTCGCTGCTCGTCCCAGTCCCCTGTTCAGATCCTGCTGGGAGTGAACGACTCGGCTGCCATCATTCCATGTTTGTGGAGAGCTATGAGAATACCTGACATGGGAAGGAGGGAAAGTTAAAAGGAAAAGAAATGCGGGTTGTTTTTTTCCTAGTGAATCAGAAGAAAGAGTCTTTTATCAGTGTGGGACGTGTGTTTATAAAATTGTGCTTGCCCAGGAAACCCCTAGAACTTTTCTTAGTGTCCTCAGCAAACATGGCCAGATTTAGCTACAGGGATTTACTAAAAGCTGTTACACAAATAAATAACGAAGTACAAAATTAGCAGCAGATCAACTAGCTCTGCTAAAGTGAGCGGTGAGGAGAGGAGAAGCCCTTGTGGCCCCAGAGAGGCTGCCTGACCTGTGGCTGCGGGAGGACAATTCAGCTGCTTTGAAGAGTTTGCTTTGCAGAAGTACCTAACCAGAGAGTGGGCAAGAGACAGGTTTTCGTGTTGTCTTTGGCAGGGGAGGGAAGGCAGATGATGCTGTGTCTGGAGTTTCAGGAGTATTTCTCCCGTAATTTTTGTACAGTGATGCTTGGCACTCTGCTTTCTTTGGAGGTGACTGGAATTGGTTTGGTTTTCTCTCCCCCCACCTTTCCTACATGCTGTACAGACTTAAGGCTGCCTTTGCTGGATGCAGAAGGGTGGTTACAGATGCTGTATTTTTCCTTCATGCTTCTCCAATCCAGCCAGACCCTGAAGCTGCCCCACTCAAGCTGGGCTGGGAGCAGAGCATTGCACATCCCCACGGTGGGGTGGTGCTGGTGGTGCTCTGCTCCATGCACAGGCTGTCGGTGCCTTTGCACGTGAAGAGTAATGGTGGTTTGCTTGTTTGGTCACCTGGGATGGCTGCTGGCAGCAGCACTTGGTGCTGCTGTTCTGCTCCCCACAGCTGTGCCACTCTGTGCGCTCACCGCGATGGCACAGCCGGCAGGGCTGGGCGAGGTGCTGGGTAATGTTACCAGGAACAGAGCTTCCTCCACTGCAGCGTCTTGGGGAATATGCCGTGCTATCCAAAGCCAAGTGTGGCTGCTGGTGAGCTCTCCCAATGCACTTTTCCTGGTACACGTTGTTCTGTGTTTTTCCTGCCGTTCTGCTGCAGGCGCTTGGCCCCGGGCCCGGAGCGGGGCCGCCCCGCTGAGGGACACGATGGCCACAGAGCCTGTGTGAGGGCTCTCTTGCTGATGGCAAGGGCCAGTGGCCAAGGGTGGGTGTTTAGGGTGCCCTTCCCAGGGCTGGGGAGTCAGCTGTGCCTGTCCTCCAGCAGGACCCTGCTGTGGGCTCAACCATCATGGCCAGTGCCAGGATGGCCCCATCACCTTGTTCACTGTACTGCGGGTCCCACGAGCAGCACCCCAGCGAGCTCTGCTCTGCTCTGCTGTGAGAG